CACATTAAAAATTTACAATGGATTAATGGGACAAAGGGCTCGTGGTACAAGTTGTCTATCCTTCCTCCTCTGCTTTGAGAACTGTGTGAACGGTGAGCGGGTAGAAGGGAAAAAGGTCCTCATATTGAGTTGCACACTTAAGCAGCAAGAGACTAGATAATAGATTGAGTAAACTCTCTTGATCGAACAGTAACAAAAAAAGCTTGTTTAAGGCATAACTGCCCTTACTTAAAATCAAATTATTTAAGAACTAATCTAACAATAAAAATAACATTTTTCACCATAAATACACCTATTTCTTAATTTTATTTAGTTTAGGTCTTGTTCATTTCATTGATTCGAGTTTAGAATTTGAATTTTGTTACAGTAAAAAGCTATCAGAAATAGTCACATCTAACTTTTTTACTACAATAAAAAATTCTCACATAAAATTACATCTCAACTCAAATTAAAAATTTAAATTAACGAACTAAACGGTCTTTATACAAAGTTGTAATATTGCAATTACAACGGTTCTTTTTCCATCAATCTATTTTTCTTTCAAGTCAGAAATTTGCCAACCAAACTCTTTTTAAGTTGCCGAAAAGTCAGCATCAAGGGCATTTCAGTGAATTGATTGACATGACAAGGGCATTTTGGTAACAAAAACTTTCTAATCCTAATGATGGGGCAAGTATCGATTGCCCCCATTCGGATTAGTCCAAATATGCCACCCAGACCAAAAAAATTGCTAAACATCCTAACTCACCTAGTCTTAATTTAAAAAAAAAAAAAAAAAAAGTTGCGGCGTTTAGTTTAAAAATTCGTGTCATAATTCATAATTTATTATAATATTTTCTCTCATAAAAAATACATATAAATTAAAATAATTTAATTATGATTTTAAATCATCAACTAAACGTTGTCTAAACACCCCAACTCACCCGAGTCAAAATGTGAAATAGGGGATGGGCCCAATATGACAAGGCATGCGAGTCAAAATGTGAAATAGGGGATGGGCCCAATATGACAAGGCATGCGAGTCAAAATGTGAAATAAGGGATGGGCCCCATATGACAGGGCATGAAGGATGGGCCCCATATGGCAGGGCATGAGAGTCAAAATGTGAAATAGGGAATGGGCCCCATATGACAGGGCATGCGAGTCAAAATGTGAAATAGGGAATGGGCCCCATATGACAGGGCATGCGAGTCAAAATGTGAAAAAGGGATGGCATGAGGGATGGGCCCCATATGGCAGGGCATGAGGGATGGGCCCCATATGGCAGGGCATGAGGGATGGGCCCCATATGGCAGAGCATGAGAGTCAAAATGTGAAATAGGGGATGGGCCCCATATGACAAGGCATGCGAGTCAAAATGTGAAATAGGAGATGAGCCCCATATGGCAGGGCATGAGGGATGGGCCCCATATGGCAGGGCATGAGAGTCAAAATGTGAAATAAGGGATGGGCCCCATATGGCAGGCATGAGAATCAAAATGTGAAATAGGGAATGGACCCCATATGGCAGGGCATGCGAGTTAAAATGTGAAAAGGGATGGACCCCATATGGCAGGGCATGTGGTGGGTCCCACTCCATATCTAATCCCAACTCCAATCAGAGTCGGGATATATAAGGAGACGTTTGTTTATTATATTCGTATCTGATTCTGAATCATGATTTATGATTCTCTACAGTGTTTTCTCTCATAAAAAATACACGTAAAACGAGAATAATTCTGAATCATGATTCTAAATACATAAACCAAACATCCTCTAAAACTGCTAAAAGATATGTGTATTGAGTTTTTAATTTGAGTTGAGATGTGAAATTTTCTGAGAGCTTTTAACTGTAGAAAAAAAAATTAGATGTGACATTTTCTAAAAAAATTTAACTGTAAAAACCTAAAATTGAAAACTCAAATCGGTAAAATAAATGAAACTTAAATGTTCAATGTTCCTTTGGAAAAGGGAGTAAATAAGGGTCCAAGTTGATTAATTTTAGTTGAATGTTAATAGCTGTTGGGGCAAAATTTCACAAACAGAAATGACTTGTCAAATTGAATGTTACCAGAGATTTTTTCTTATGAGAAATTTAATTAGAGAGAATCTTGGAAAACAAAAATCCTTTAGAGCTTGATTGATCTTTTGATAAATTTTGCACCGTTTTTTGTCACTTGGTTTTTCCCAAAGTTCTTGAAATTTTTTTCATTGTCTCTAATTTATTTTCATTTTTACTTTCTATAACTATAATCTCATTTATCATTTATGAAAAATATAGAGAGTGGTCATCAATTTGTCTTTTAAGAAGCACTATAAACTTACTCTTTTAATAAATTATTTTGTGATAGGATTCGTTATTTTAAATTGTGGGATTAGTTTTTTAAGGATAAATTTGTGCATGTTCACATTCAAAATTTACAATGAACCAATGGGACAAAGGGCTCGTGGTACAAGCTGTCTATCCTTCCTCCTCTGCTTTGAGAACTGTGTGAACGGTGAGCGGGTAGAAGGGAAAGACGTCCTTATATTGAGTCGCATACGTACTTAAGCAGTAAGAGACTGGATAATAGATCGAGTAAACTCTCTTGATCGAATAGTAACAAAAAAAGCTTGTTTAAGGCATAACTGTCCTTACTTAAAATCAAATTATTTAAGAACTAATCCAATAATAAAAATAATATTTTTCACCATAAATACACCTATTTCTTAATTTTATTTAGTAAGGTCTCGTTCATTTCACTGATTCGAGTTTAGAATTTGAGTTTTGTTACAGTAAAAAACTCTCAGAAATAATCACATCTAACTTTTTTACTACAGTAAAAAGTTCTCACATAAAATCACATCTCAACTCGAATTAAAAATTCGAATCAACGAACTAAACGGGTCCTTATATCTAAGCTGTAATATTGCTTATATCTAAGCTGTAATATTGCAATTACAACGGTTCTTTTTCCATCAATCTATTTTTCTTTCAAGTCAGAAATTTGCCAACCAAACTCTTTTTTAGTTGCCGAAAAGTTAGTATCAAGGGCATTTCAGTGAATTGATTGACATGACAAGGGCATTTTGGTAACAAAAACTTTCTAATCCTAATGATGGGGCATGTATCGATTGCCCCCATTCGGATTAGTCCAAATATGCTACCCATAACAAAAAAATTGCTAAACATCCTAACTCACCGAGTCTTAATAAAAAAAAAAAAAAGCGCTTCGTGCGTTCATTTCAAAATTCGTGTCATAATTCGTAATTTATTATAATATTTTTTTTTATAAAAAATATACATAAATTAAAATAATTTTAAATTATGATTTTAAATCATCAACTAAACGTTGTCTAAATACCCCAACTCACCCGAGTCAAAATGTAAAATAGGGGATGGGCCCCATATGACAGGGCATGCGAGTCAAAATGTAAAATAGAGGATGGGCCCCATATGACAGGGCATGAGAGTCAAAATGTGAAATAGGGAATGGGCCCCATATGGTAGGGCATGCGAGTTAAAATGTGAAAAAGGGATGGGCCTCATATGGCAGGGCATGCAGTGGGTCCCACTCCCTATCTAATCCCAACTCCAATCAGAGTCGGGATATATAAAGGGACGTTTGTTTCTTATATTCGTCTATGATTCTGAACATGATTTATGATTCTCTACAGTATTTTTTCTCATAAAAAATACACATAAAACAAGAATAATTTTGAATCATGATTCTGAATACATAAACCAAACGTCATCTAAAACTGCTAAAAGATGTGTATTGCCCAAATAATAAGAGTCATATTAGCTTCTCAACAAACACCAAAGAGTTGTTCTTTTTTGTTTTTTGTATTTTTAAGTTAGGTGATTTGAGTGATAATTTTAAGTTAAGTTTAAATTATAATTTAAGTTAAAATTATAACTTAAATTTGTGTTTGAATGTGCACATTTGAGTTATGATTTGAATTGAGAATCTTTTTAAGTTTGTATTTAGGTGAGTCAAAACTTAAATTTGTATTTAAATAGTATTTTAATAAAAACTCAATAGTAATGAAAAATTTTAATATGGTATATGGGTAGAATTTTATTCATCTTTTCGTTGTGAATGCATAGAAAAAAATCATCTCCATCAAAATTAAAACAAAAAAGTTATGATATTTTTAAGAATAGAAAAAATATTGTTCATTAACTTGAGTTCGAGTTTATGAACTCAAGTTGCAAGGAAAACTTGAACTCGAGTTTAACCTCAAACTTGAGTTCAAACTCAAATTTTACAAAAGAACATGAACTTAAATAAAGTTGTAACTCGAGTTCAAACTTTTTTTAGGCTTGTTCAGTTGTATTTTTGAGCTATAGTGACTTGAGTGTAGATTTTGAGTTGAATTTGAGTTGTAACTTGAGTTGAAGTTATAATTTGAGTTTGTGTTTGGTTGTGTACATTTAAGTTATGGTTTGAGATGAGAATCTTTTTGAGTTTGTGTTTAGGTGGGTCAAAACTTAAATTTGTATTTAGATAGTATTTTAATAAAAACTAAATGATGATGAAAAATTTTAATAAGGTATATGGGTGAGATTTTATCCGTCTCTTTGTTGTGAATGCATAAAAAAAAGAATAATCTCAATCAGAATTAAAACGAAAGAATTATAACGTTTTTAAAAATAGAAAAAATATTGTTCACTAATTTAAGTTTGAGTTTAGAAACTTGAATTGAATGAGAAACTTAAACTTAGATTTTAACCCCAAACTCAGGTTAAAATTCAAATTTTACAAAATAACATGAACTTGAATAAAGTTATAACTCGAGTTCAAACTTTTTTTAAATTTAGGTGCAAATTTAAGTGCAAAGAAACAAACCCTCTGAGTTTTGTTGAAAAATAACAACCCCCAAGTTTCTTGAAGAAAAAGACTGCAAATAGCTTGCTGGGGCATTATCAGCTGACTTGATGATTAAGAGGGTGAATGGTACACATCAGTGATATCAAGGGTGGAAGCTTACTAAAAATTGTGTCAGAATTAATTTGCAAAGATAAAGCTCAATTGCAAGAAAACACACTTGATTTATTGATATTTCGTTTAAAACATTATACCATCGACATTTATTTCTTTAGATTTCCTCTCTTTCCTATTCCTGATGATAGTACATGACAATGCTAAATTAATTTTAAAAGCACTTTCGTTTGTTCTAAGAGAGGCATGATACTAATAGGCAAACTTATATCAAGATGCGACATTGCTGCCGTCTAATGTAAGTAGCACCTTGTACAAATCTGGACGTCGATCGCGGAAAACTCCCCAACAACGTCTCTTCAATTTTATATTGTCCAGATCAAATTGTGCTACGAGAATAGCTTCCTCTTTAGCATCAGCAGCCGCAACAATTTCTCCGGTGGGTCCTGACATTAAAGTATATAGCGTTATATATGACTGGATAATAAAGCACAAAAAATTGATTGTACGAAAACCTTGAGCCTTGCAAATGCTGAAAAACCAAAGGATGAAATACCTGCTATAAAGGAGTTCCCATAGAATGTTATCTGACTTTTACCATGCTCCGTTTCGATTATCTCCTTCCCTATGCGATTTGAAGCAACTAGAGGAACCTGAGTTTCCAATAATAGATTAACCCCCTTTTCGTGATATTTGTTGAAAGGAAAAATAGAACGGACACTCCATAAGCTTTGTCGAAATAATACTCGAACTAATGAATTTACATCCCTTAAAATGTAAATACCTTTCGATCAATCAAACTTGCAGAATATTCTTTTTTCTTTAAACGTATCCTTCAGTTCTCATTCAATAGTCACGCAATCTATAAAGGCGGACCCCAGTGTCAAAGAGACTCCCGTACTATGACAGGCTCGGGGGAAAGCTCAATCCCATATGTATGCGGCCTTACCCCCCGAAAGAGGCGCCGTTTCCGGGATTCGAACCCTGGACCCCGGGTGCAAATGCAAGCGCTCCCACCACGGTGCCAAGGCCCGTTTTCAGTCACGCAATCTATGAATCAATTAATTTAAACCTTGAAATTTTCAATAAGTAAAATAACTATCAATGTCCCAAATCTAACTATGCAGTGCCACTCTCAATAATTGGCTACAAGTTTTTTAACATAGACAACTATGCGAGTTTTGATCTTTCTATTTTATCATCAAACATTATTAACAGTTAAGGGTGCTAGACTTATCAATTTTGATTAAGTGACATCGACTGCTCTGCTGTTTCTTTAGCAAATTTAGGGGGTGCCGATCTGATTATTTCCTTTTCAATACTGCGAATTACATTTTGACCAAAATCAGTAGGTAATCCTTGATGCAAGTTGCCAAAGGATAAGAAGCAAAATATATGCTTTGAAGCAACTCGATTTTATTCACACTTAAAAACTTAAACTAGTAAACGCATATTGTAGATCCAGGAGTCGTTAGTTTTAACAAAACAAAAGAACGATTCTCAAGAAGAGAGAGAGAGAGAGAGAGAGCTAAGACGTACCAAATTAGCCCCAGCATGCCCTTGCATAACTAGAGAGAGAGAGAGAGAGAGAGAGAGAGAGAGAGAGAGAGAGAGCAAAGACGTACCAAATTAGCCCCAGCATGCCCTTGCATAACTCGCTTCCAGTGATCACGCGAATCAAGTTCTTGATCTTGAGGTTCAGAACCTATAGCAGTAGGGTAAAACAATATCTCAGCACCTTGAAGCACCATCGCTCGGGCTGCCTCTGGGAACCACTGATCCCAGCAAATTGCTGGTGCAAACAAACAGAAACTGATTTAATTTTCCATATTACTTGCCACACAGGTGAAATGGCAAAAGAGATGTGCTGAAACAAAATTTTCTACGTGCATTGACATTCTAAACAGTGTTTTCAATAATTACATTTAATTGCATACTTGAAGCTGAAAAAGTGAAATCAGAACTTTGAGATATGCCATCTTTTGGATTCACAAATTGTTACCGAGCTACGCAATGTAAGTACATACAAAGCACACACAGATGTTCACAAACAAATCTTAAGAGTTTAGGGCAAATCTTCTTACCAACTCCAATTTTTGCAAACTTCGTTTGGAAAACCTGTTTTGTAACAACATCACCATAAGTTTTACATGTTATCTTAAATCAATACCAAAACCAAAACCATCAAAGGTAAAAATTAAAATAAATAAATATGATCAGAAATTGTACCTTGAAGCCAGTGTCGCCAGGATTGAAGTAGAACTTTTCTTGATAGCCTGTTGGAGAGAAGTTGATGAGGAACAAGATATAGATATTAGGAACTTAAAATATGTGTTTATCTACTAGGATTATTTACTATTTATATGAGTGTGAGTATTATTAGTTTTCGTTTATCTTATTCGTAGAGTTCATTCAACTATAAATAGACCTAGTGATTGTAATTCCACTTTGGACCTTGAGGATTGATGTGAAAATTCACATTCCTTCTGTATTGTTCTACTTCTCTCTCTCACTTCTTAACTCCTCTTCTCACTATCTTCTATTTCTCTCTTGTTGTCTCTATGTCTTAATCTATCTTGGTCCGGCATCAGAAGTACTAGCTCTAGCAAACTTGAAACCCCCCCCCCCCCCCAAAAAAAAAAAAAGAACAACAAACCCCCCCCCGAAAAAAAAAAAAGAGAGCACACACACACACACACAAGAGAGATTAGAATTTTAAATACCCGGTCCATCAGGAATATGAGACTTTCGGTAAAGTCCGAGGTCCGCACCATCAGCGTCAATTACAACGACTGAATTGTAATGGGCATTGTTTGCCTCTTCAAAGAAGCTAACTGGAATCACCACACCCAGCTCTTTTGCAAGTTTCTGCATCCTATAAAGTATGCAGATGAATTAATGTAGGCATCAACGTGGGAATCAACGGATATCAATGTGGGCACCAACGGATAAAGCTTCTAACAGTTTTCCTTTCTCCTTGATCATTCGAAATTGAAGAGATGTTTTAGGAAGATGATAATGTGTTTTCTGCTGGTTGTTTTAAGTTTTTTTCCTGTGTATTATTGTACTTTTGTTTTTATGTTGTTGTTTTAGTTTTCTTTTTTACTGTTTGGATGATATCTCATCATTTTTTCCTAGTAGTTGATGTTTTATCAATGAAAGGTGTTTTTTCTATTTGCAAATGAGAGCAATTAGCTACAAACAAACTTCAAAACTATCGATGAAAGAAGGCTTACCTTAAAATTGTGGGATGGTCCTTATAAGGCTTAGCTCGATGAAAGAAGTCTTCCCTCTGTGCTTGACAGAAGTAATATCCCTCAAAGAGCTCCTAGCAATCCACAAAGAAATAAAAAATAAAAAATAAAAAAGAGGAGATTGAAATCTCACAAAATGCACATTTAAGATTTAAAAGTCAGTGAAAGACTTTGAGTTTAGGATATTTATCGTGAGGGGTCACGCACATCAGTCTAAACAGGTAATTCAAGACTAGAAATCTGTAAAACCAAAATATAACATAATATAACGGAGATATTATCTCCGTGTCATTTAGAATTCCGTTGTCTTTATGAAATCAAAGGAAGTACTTTCATTGGTCAGACTACTGAATGCTAATGGAATTTTCCACTGCACTGTTTTCAAGTGATCAGTACTTCCATTTTGCACAAGTCTTGTAATTGCTCCATACGGTGCATGAGGAAAGTTGATTTGTATAGGTGACACAAGGCACATAGAGCTAAAGAAACTCTCATGAGATGGAAAGAGAGTGAAACAAAATGATATACCAGAATTTTTTTTTTTTTTTTTTTTTTTTTTTTTTTTTTTTATAAAAAATTTTTTTTTTTTTTTTTTTTTTTTTTTGTCTGATGATATAATAATGTCATTTTTCAACTATGTCATACACAAAGCATGATCCACGTCCTCTTCCTTGAGCATTTTGGGATCGCATCTATAGCCTGAGGTCTTCATGTGATCCAACATACAATCTAAAGTAGTATGAATATCAACCATTCTGGCGTTTGACTTGTCTTCTACTCTAAACCGATAGAGGACATTATTAATTTCATTCCAACTATAGCCAAGACTTGTTTTCAGTCCCTTTATCTTTCACTAATTTCCACATCCTTGCAGCGGGGTCCCACCATCCCACGCTCGCATAGAGGTTTGCCAATTGCAAATAGGTGGCACCGGAACTAGGTTCCAGCAACAACCTCTCCTTTGCAGCCTCGATTGCCAACCCTACACTCCCGTGAATGCGACTTGACGAGAGCAAAGATCCCCATATGACTGCGTTGGGGGGAATAGGCATCTTCGACATGACATCCCGAGCCTCTTCCAATAACCCAGCTCGGCCAAGGAGATCAACAACGCATGAGTAATGATCAAGCTCCGGCTCTACACCTCATTCCACCATTGAATCAAAGTAGAGCTGGCCTTCTTTGACAAGACCCGCATGGCGACACGAAGAGAGGACACCAAGAAAAGTGATGGCATCAGCTTTCGCGCCTTGCTGCTTCATTTCCTCAAACACATCAATCGCCTGCGAAGCAAGCCCATGCTGTGCATCCCTGCTATCATTGAGTTCCATGACACGGTGTCCTTACCATCCAAAGTTTTGAATATGCAAAGCGCATCTCTGAGGGCCCCACATTTGCAATACATTGAGATGAGAGCGTTGGAGATGTGAATGTAGGCATGGAAGCCCATTTGTATGGCTTGAGAATGAACAGTTCTCCCTTGCCCGAGTGCTCCGCTACCCAAGCAAGCACTCAAAAGGCTAGCAAAAGTGAAATGGTCAGGCCCCACATTTGCAATACATTGAGATGAGAGCGTTGGAGATGTGAATGTAGGCATGGAAGCCCATTTGTATGGCTTGAGAATGAACAGTTCTCCCTTGCCCGAGTGCTCTGCTACCCAAGTAAGCACTCAAAAGGCTAACAAAAGTGAAATGGTCAGGCCTCAAAGCCAAATTGCCCATCCTTTGGAAAAGCTCCAAGTAAACATCAACCCGCCATTCTTGCGCAAAGCCTGCGATAATCACAGTCCACAACACTACATTTCTCACAGGCATTTCTTCAAACATTTGGTAAGCCTTGTCCAACTCATTGCATATGCAGTACAAACTAACCAAAGAACTTCCAACATAAACATTTGCAACAAACCCATGTCTTATAGTGGCACAATGGTGCTGAACACCGGCATGGAGATTACGTCGGGACACACATGAGCTCAGAGCAAGTGACAACACTGTGGCATCAATAATCCTTGACTTCTCAGAACTAGTTTCAAGCTCATGATTCTCTGTCGAACGTGAACTAGTTTGTGGGTGCAAAAAGTCGTCAATGAGGCGAAGATGACGATGGCGATGTGGTGATAAGGTGGTAATGTTGGTTTGGGGAGTAATAAGGTGGAGAACTCTGAGTGCTTAAACTAACATTTTTTGTGTGTTGTAATATCTGAGTGGGATTGTGAGAAGAGAAGAGCCTTAAGTGTGAAGATTTTGTTTGCAGTAGAACAAGATAAGAAAGTTTGTTCCATGAAGAAGAGGGAAGAGAATTGAAACTAAAAGCCATGGGTTGAGAGCTGAAAACACATGACGTCCATTTTCATGGTTGTTCTTTGTTGGTCATTTGTTTTTGGACCTAAAATGATATACCAGAATTGTTAACATGGGAAAACATAAAGAAAAACCCGATATGAAATGTTTAGTATGAGCCATAAAGGAGCTCAGTCGTATCTCAGGTGTTACAAGATATATCCATCAAACCAGCTTTTGCAACACATTGGTTCAAAATTATTAAGCATTATACCCATGATCAAACAAGCATGTATCTTAAGACGTTTATTGATCTAGACAAATTAAAAATATTCTCACTCTTTTCCCATGTGTTGGTTTACTAGCATTTTTATGCACCACCTGGAGTTCAAATTCAGTCATTACTGGTCATCAAACTTGTTAGTATCTTAGAGAATACTGCAAGTTATAAAAGGTACAATTATTAACATGAAGTGGAAATAAACAACGCATTCTTAAATACATGATCACATAATGATAAGACAGATCATATTTTACTATTTCTTACATCTAAGCTCTCACTTAAACCATTAGCAAAGTAATACTTCTTTGTCCTTCTCATAGCAGTAAAAGTTATAGCATTGTTGAACTATTGATGACACATAATCTCATTACTTCACATAATCCATGCCGCATGGTAGAAAATGTCTCTTAAAGTGGTAAGTCTCAAGTTATGATACCTGTATGAGAATTATGTTCGCACCCTTTGCGTGAGCAGCTCTAACCAGCCTGCACAGAATAGGATAATAAGCTTGTCACAAAAGCATCCACATTTAGCATTACTTTCTATAAGCTGCTTTTGCTTCTTAGGTCTAAGAGATGCTTTTGGAAGTGTTTGGATAACGTTTCAGCAAGCTTTGATGCTCAAGAAACTTGAGAATCAACCCACAAAATATGTTTACAAAAAAAACAAAACAAAAAAAAACTCTTTTAAGAAGGCTTTAAAACTTGCACGGGAGTTTTAAAAAGATTTATAAACTTATTCTAGCATTTTTATTGCTTATTAAAAAAATTAAATATAGGCCTCGTTCATTTTTACCGATTCGAGTTTTCAATTTTAAGTTTCTACAGTCAAAAGCTCTCAGAAAATGTCACATCTAACTTTTTCTGCTACAGTTAAAAGCTTTCAGAAAATATCACATCTCAACTCGAATCTGCAAAGTGAACTAAGCCATAATGTTTGTCTTACAGAACTATTTCAAGAAAATGCGTTCCAAACACTAAGGGGTTGTTTGGTATATACTAACACTAAGGGGTTGTTTGGTATATACTCAAAACTCAAACCATAATCTGCTACAGTGTTTTCCTCTTGCAAAGAATTTGAATAAAAAAATTTCCACCAACAGTTCTGTCAAACGAATTTAAATCAAAATCCAAATCATGGTTCAAATACACTTTCCAAACGGGCTCTAACTTAAAAACCATAGTTTTTACTTAAAAGCGTGAGCAAATGAAGTGCAAAGTCCCAAATTATCTACAACGATAGGCCAAATTCCAAAACATCAACAGTAAAAGAAAAATCACAAGAACTAGCAATGTGAATAACTGAGAAAAACAACGACAAAAAAAATGGTCTGGTATCAGTGAAAATTAACAAGGCAAAGAAAGAGAAACACGAAAACAAGTTTAGTCATTTCTACTTTATTAGGAGGTAATAATGTACTTAAAACGAGTCCGATCATTTTTGCTTTTGAGAGCTGATTAGTAGTAAAACGAAGGAATTATACGATCAAATTACAAAATAAAAGATCTCGGAGTTTCATCAAGAAAAAAGTGAAAGAAGCAGAAAATTTGTTTCATCGCGAAGAAGCATAAATCTGCGAAAGAGTTTGTACAAATAATGCTTTTCTCAGACAACAAAATTTGTTTTTAGTCATTCAATAAGATTATAGTGCAGAAAGATTTTAGGCATTTTTTTTTTGTCTGAAAGCCATGAAATTGAACTGAGACAAGAGAGAAAGAAAGAGAAAGACCTTTCTGCGGTGGCGACGTTGGTGGAGACAACGTCGGTGCAAGCGAATTGCAGAGCTGAGACCACCACCTCTCTCTTCCCCTTATTCTCCATTCTCCTTTCTCTCTCTCTCTCTCTCTCTCTCTCTGTGTGAATGAGTGCGGAAAGCAAATGCAATGTGCTCAAGTTGGGAAATTCGGCGGGTCTTGGTCACTTCCACTGGTGCCTTCATGGATACCCGATTTTGCGGCAGGTCCGAAAACCGACTCTATTATTATTATTATTATTATTAATTTATTATTGAGTGCGGAAAGCAAATGCAATGTGCTCAAGTTGGGAAATTCGGCGGGTCTTGGTCACTTCCACTGGTGCCTTCATGGATACCCGATTTTGCGGCAGGTCCGAAAACCGACTCTATTATTATTATTATTATTATTAATTTATTATTATTATTATTATTATTAATTTATTATTATTATTATTATTATTGTTATTATTATCGGCAAGCTCTTCAATCCGGCAGGCACCATTTGCTTGATCAATCCGGCGGAATATAAAAATATAGGGTTATATTTTTTATAAAAAAAATCAAATTTAACTAGGCCCAACCCGTAATGTGCGCGTTGAGCCGCGGGGCGGGCAGTTTTTAACCCGCTATGCCCTAACCCGGCCGCTTCTACTTGGGTATTCTTAAGTCTGTAACCCTAATTTCCCAAATCCGCGCCTCCCTCGCCACCTCCTAATCACTTCACACCTCCCTTTGTCCCTCAGTCTCGTACTCTCGATCTCGCCTCCCTCAGTCTCGCACTCTCGATCTTGCCTCCTTCAATCTTGCATTCTCGCCTCCCTCGCCTCCTTCTCAGTTCCTTTTCTTACTTATCATGTCGTTCCTCACACTCGTCGATTGTCATTCCTCATTCTCCGCTCCTCTTCTTCTTCTTCTCAGTCTCTCGTTGTTCCTCACACTCATCGTTCCTCTTCTTCTTCTTTTTCATTCCTCTTATTTGAACAGATTATTTGAAATCTTCATTGAAGACAATCGGTAAGACTCTAAACTGATTTGATTTTGATTTTGAACTGTGCACTATTTATTGAACTAACTAGTGATAGTTTTGTTTTCAGGTTTTTCTACTAAGAAGAAGGCACCGACTCCGTTCGTGATGATCCTTCCAATTCTTCCCCCAATTCTCGCGAGACCTCCATATTCAGGTTGTTTGGTAATTAGTTTTTGTTAGATTCGAGGTTGTTTTCGCGAGTTTTCTTTGTTGTAAGTTGTAACATGAGAATTTAGGTTGTATATGTTCGGTAAATTACGTTGATTCTTGATTTTTTGATTGAAGAGTCTTTTTTCCTTTCTTTTGTTTGATTGCTGAACTTGGTTTTCTTCATTGAGGACTTCTTTTTGCTTTCTTTTTTCTGATTTCTGAATTGGGGTTGGTCCCTTTTAATTGGGGCTGTGTGTTTTCATCTGCTCGTATGAATGTTTACAGGGATGTTCTTTTTTCTTATTGAAGAGTTTTTTTTCCTTTCATGTGTTTACAGGGCTACAAATGTTTATTATGCCATATTGATTATATTATAAAAATAAAGGAAAGAATATTATTACAAATCAAATAATATGTTGAAAAAGATTGCAAATACATTTCTTAGTGACAGTATAGTATACTGCACTTCAGACTCATTACCAGCCACCGAATGGGGACAAAAAGAGGTTTTTCTTGACAAAAGAGGATTTTTGAACAAAGATTGATTTCAATTTGGGGTTTGCAAACTTGACAATATGTATTGTTGGAGCAAAAAGAAGGCCTACAATGCAGGCCTAATAAATTGCCCACTAGATCATTTTGGGGGGTAATATTGACAAAAATTCTTTAAAATTATATGGATCAGAATTTTATTTTTTACTCTTAATTTATAACATTTTTAGTTAAATCATTACACTAATAAAAAATATTTATCAAAAATAAAAAATAAATGTTCAGACTTATACACTTTTAAAAGTTAATTCTCCGTTGATTCTTTTAGTGGACCTTGTTGAAAAGGGAGAAAGAGAATGCATGTTCTGAGAGGAAAAGCAGTGATGTGATGCCGGCTCATAAAATGTTTCATTATTTAAGATCATTTTAATACATTCAAAAGGCTATAAATGCAAACGTGGTTGATTAAAATACTCTTTATACGGTCAACAACGTATTAAGTTCTGTTTAATTCATCAATTTAAGTTTAAAATTTGAATTTTATTATAATAAAAAGCTCTTAGAAATAGTCACATATAACTTTTTGTTACAAAAAAAAGCTCTTACATAAAGTCACATCTCAATTCAAATTAAAATTTTGAATCAGCGAACTAAACGGGCCTTAAATATAATTACAAAATTCAGTTTTTAGAAATAACATAGGTGTTGCGACATTTGACTTAAGAAAATGCAGTCACATTGGACAACGTCTGTTACATCCCTCTCAAATGGCCGAAAGAGCACTTTGAGAAAATTAAATGGTTAACGCAACGAGACGACAATGTAAGATTTATTATCCTAGGGGCTGTTCGGCAGCTCTATTTTTGAGTTAAAAATTTAAAAAAAGCAACTCGAGTTACAACGAGTGTGTTTGGCTGTCCAAAAAACTAAAAAAAAAAAACAACTCGAGTTCCAACTTTATTTAAGTTCACGTTCTTTTAAGTTTGAACTCGAGTTTGGGACTAAAACTCGAGTTCAAGTGTCCCCTTCAACTCGAGTTCAGAAACTCGAACTCAAATTAATAAACAGTATTTTTTCTATTCTTAAAAATGCTATAACTTTTTCGTTTTAATCCTGATTGAAATAATTTTTTTATGCGTTGACAACGAAAAGACGAACAAAACCCCACCCATATACCTTATTAAAATTTTTCATCACCATTGAGTTTTTATTAAAATACTATTTAAATACAAATTTAAGTTTTAACTCACTCAAACTCAAACTCAAAAAAAGATTCTTATCTCAAACCATAACTCAAATGTACACAACCAAACACAAATTCAAGTTACAACTTCAACTCAAGTTATAACTCAAATTCAACTCAAAAACTACACTCAAGTCACACTCCAAAAGAATAGGCCCAACTTTATTTAAGTTCATGTTCTTTTAAGTTTGAACTCGAGTTTGAGACTAACACTAGAGTTCAAGGCCTTGTTCAGCAGCCTCAAAAACTCAAAAAAAGGCAACTCGAGTTTCAACTTTATTTAAGTTCATGTTCTTTTAAGTTTGAACTCGAGTTTGAGACTAACACTAGAGTTCAAGGCCTTGTTCGGCAGCCTCAAAAACTCAAAAAAAGGCAACTCGAGTTTCAACTTTATTTAAGTTCATGTTCTTTTAAGTTTGAACTCGAGTTTGGGACTAAAATTCGAGTTTAAGTTTCCCCTTCAATTCGAGTTCAGAAACTCGAACTCAAATTAATGAACAGTATTTTTTTATTCTTAAAAATGCTATAACTTTTTCGTTTTAATCCTGATTGAAATAATTTTTTTATGCGTTGACAACGAAAAGACGAACAAAACCCCACCCATATACCTTATTAAAATTTTTCATCACCATTGAGTTTTTATTAAAATACTATTTAAATACAAATTTAAGTTTTAACTCACTCAAACTCAAACTCAAAAAAAGATTCTTATCTCAAACCATAACTCAAATGTACACAACCAAACACAAATTCAAGTTACAACTTCAACTCAAGTTATAACTCAAATTTGGAGATGTGAATGTAGGCATGGAAGCCCATTTGTATGGCTTGAGAATGAACAGTTCTCCCTTGCCCGAGTGCTCCGCTACCCAAGCAAGCACTCAAAAGGCTAGCAAAAGTGAAATGGTCAGGCCCCACATTTGCAATACATTGAGATGAGAGCGTTGGAGATGTGAATGTAGGCATGGAAGCCCATTTGTATGGCTTGAGAATGAACAGTTCTCCCTTGCCCGAGTGCTCCGCTACCCAAGCAAGCACTCAAAAGGCTAGCAAAAGTGAAATGGTCAGGCCCCACATTTGCAATACATTGAGATGAGAGCGTTGGAGATGTGAATGTAGGCATGGAAGCCCATTTGTATGGCTTGAGAATGAACAGTTCTCCCTTGCCCGAGTGCTCCGCTACCCAAGCAAGCACTCAAAAGGCTAGCAAAAGTGAAATGGTCAGGCCCCACATTTGCAATACATTGAGATGAGAGCGTTGGAGATGTGAATGTAGGCATGGAAGCCCATTTGTATGGCTTGAGAATGAACAGTTCTCCCTTGCCCGAGTGCTCCGCTACCCAAGCAAGCACTCAAAAGGCTAGCAAAAGTGAAATGGTCAGGCCCCACATTTGCAATACATTGAGATGAGAGCGTTGGAGATGTGAATGTAGGCATGGAAGCCCATTTGTATGGCTTGAGAATGAACAGTTCTCCCTTGCCCGAGTGCTCCGCTACCCAAGCAAGCACTCAAAAGGCTAGCAAAAGTGAAATGGTCAGGCCCCACATTTGCAATACATTGAGATGAGAGCGTTGGAGATGTGAATGTAGGCATGGAAGCCCATTTGTATGGCTTGAGAATGAACAGTTCTCCCTTGCCCGAGTGCTCCGCTACCCAAGCAAGCACTCAAAAGGCTAGCAAAAGTGAAATGGTCAGGCCCCACATTTGCAATACATTGAGATGAGAGCGTTGGAGATGTGAATGTAGGCATGGAAGCCCATTTGTATGGCTTGAGAATGAACAGTTCTCCCTTGCCCGAGTGCTCCGCTACCCAAGCAAGCACTCAAAAGGCTAGCAAAAGTGAAATGGTCAGGCCCCACATTTGCAATACATTGAGATGAGAGCGTTGGAGATGTGAATGTAGGCATGGAAGCCCATTTGTATGGCTTGAGAATGAACAGTTCTCCCTTGCCCGAGTGCTCCGCTACCCAAGCAAGCACTCAAAAGGCTAGCAAAAGTGAAATGGTCAGGCCCCACATTTGCAATACATTGAGATGAGAGCGTTGGAGATGTGAATGTAGGCATGGAAGCCCATTTGTATGGCTTGAGAATGAACAGTTCTCCCTTGCCCGAGTGCTCCGCTACCCAAGCAAGCACTCAAAAGGCTAGCAAAAGTGAAATGGTCAGGCCCCACATTTGCAATACATTGAGATGAGAGCGTTGGAGATGTGAATGTAGGCATGGAAGCCCATTTGTATGGCTTGAGAATGAACAGTTCTCCCTTGCCCGAGTGCTCCGCTACCCAAGCAAGCACTCAAAAGGCTAGCAAAAGTGAAATGGTCAGGCCCCACATTTGCAATACATTGAGATGAGAGCGTTGGAGATGTGAATGTAGGCATGGAAGCCCATTTGTATGGCTTGAGAATGAACAGTTCTCCCTTGCCCGAGTGCTCCGCTACCCAAGCAAGCACTCAAAAGGCTAGCAAAAGTGAAATGGTCAGGCCCCACATTTGCAATACATTGAGATGAGAGCGTTGGAGATGTGAATGTAGGCATGGAAGCCCATTTGTATGGCTTGAGAATGAACAGTTCTCCCTTGCCCGAGTGCTCCGCTACCCAAGCAAGCACTCAAAAGGCTAGCAAAAGTGAAATGGTCAGGCCCCACATTTGCAATACATTGAGATGAGAGCGTTGGAGATGTGAATGTAGGCATGGAAGCCCATTTGTATGGCTTGAGAATGAACAGTTCTCCCTTGCCCGAGTGCTCTGCTACCCAAGTAAGCACTCAAAAGGCTAACAAAAGTGAAATGGTCAGGCCTCAAAGCCAAATTGCCCATCCTTTGGAAAAGCTCCAAGTAAACATCAACCCGCCATTCTTGCGCAAAGCCTGCGATAATCACAGTCCACAACACTACATTTCTCACAGGCATTTCTTCAAACATTTGGTAAGCCTTGTCCAACTCATTGCATATGCAGTACAAACTAACCAAAGAACTTCCAACATAAACATTTGCAACAAACCCATGTCTTATAGTGGCACAATGGTGCTGAACACCGGCATGGAGATTACGTCGGGACACACATGAGCTCAGAGCAAGTGACAACACTGTGGCATCAATAATCCTTGACTTCTCAGAACTAGTTTCAAGCTCATGATTCTCTGTCGAACGTGAACTAGTTTGTGGGTGCAAAAAGTCGTCAATGAGGCGAAGATGACGATGGCGATGTGGTGATAAGGTGGTAATGTTGGTTTGGGGAGTAATAAGGTGGAGAACTCTGAGTGCTTAAACTAACATTTTTTGTGTGTTGTAATATCTGAGTGGGATTGTGAGAAGAGAAGAGCCTTAAGTGTGAAGATTTTGTTTGCAGTAGAACAAGATAAGAAAGTTTGTTCCATGAAGAAGAGGGAAGAGAATTGAAACTAAAAGCCATGGGTTGAGAGCTGAAAACACATGACGTCCATTTTCATGGTTGTTCTTTGTTGGTCATTTGTTTTTGGACCTAAAATGATATACCAGAATTGTTAACATGGGAAAACATAAAGAAAAACCCGATATGAAATGTTTAGTATGAGCCATAAAGGAGCTCAATCGTATCTCAGGTGTTACAAGATATATCCATCAAACCAGCTTTTGCAACACATTGGTTCAAAATTATTAAGCATTATACCCATGATCAAACAAGCATGTATCTTAAGACGTTTATTGATCTAGACAAATTAAAAATATTCTCACTCTTTTCCCATGTGTTGGTTTACTAGCATTTTTATGCACCACCTGGAGTTCAAATTCAGTCATTACTGGTCATCAAACTTGTTAGTATCTTAGAGAATACTGCAAGTTATAAAAGGTACAATTATTAACATGAAGTGGAAATAAACAACGCATTCTTAAATACATGATCACATAATGATAAGACAGATCATATTTTACTATTTCTTACATCTAAGCTCTCACTTAAACCATTAGCAAAGTAATACTTCTTTGTCCTTCTCATAGCAGTAAAAGTTATAGCATTGTTGAACTATTGATGACACATAATCTCATTACTTCACATAATCCATGCCGCATGGTAGAAAATGTCTCTTAAAGTGGTAAGTCTCAAGTTATGATACCTGTATGAGAATTATGTTCGCACCCTTTGCGTGAGCAGCTCTAACCAGCCTGCACAGAATAGGATAATAAGCTTGTCACAAAAGCATCCACATTTAGCATTACTTTCTATAAGCTGCTTTTGCTTCTTAGGTCTAAGAGATGCTTTTGGAAGTGTTTGGATAACGTTTCAGCAAGCTTTGATGCTCAAGAAACTTGAGAATCAACCCACAAAATATGTTTACAAAAAAAACAAAACAAAAAAAAACTCTTTTAAGAAGGCTTTAAAACTTGCACGGGAGTTTTAAAAAGATTTATAAACTTATTCTAGCATTTTTATTGCTTATTAAAAAAATTAAATATAGGCCTCGTTCATTTTTACCGATTCGAGTTTTCAATTTTAAGTTTCTACAGTCAAAAGCTCTCAGAAAATGTCACATCTAACTTTTTCTGCTACAGTTAAAAGCTCTCAGAAAATGTCACATCTCAACTCGAATCTGCAAAGTGAACTAAGCCATAATGTTTGTCTTACAGAACTATTTCAAGAAAATGCGTTCCAAACACTAAGGGGTTGTTTGGTATATACTAACACTAAGGGGTTGTTTGGTATATACTCAAAACTCAAACCATAATCTGCTACAGTGTTTTCCTCTTGCAAAGAATTTGAATAAAAAAATTTCCACCAACAGTTCTGTCAAACGAATTTAAATCAAAATCCAAATCATGGTTCAAATACACTTTCCAAACGGGCTCTAACTTAAAAACCATAGTTTTTACTTAAAAGCGTGAGCAAATGAAGTGCAAAGTCCCAAATTATCTACAACGATAGGCCAAATTCCAAAACATCAACAGTAAAAGAAAAATCACAAGAACTAGCAATGTGAATAACTGAGAAAAACAACGACAAAAAAAATGGTCTGGTATCAGTGAAAATTAACAAGGCAAAGAAAGAGAAACACGAAAACAAGTTTAGTCATTTCTACTTTATTAGGAGGTAATAATGTACTTAAAACGAGTCCGATCATTTTTGCTTTTGAGAGCTGATTAGTAGTAAAACGAAGGAATTATACGATCAAATTACAAAATAAAAGATCTCGGAGTTTCATCAAGAAAAAAGTGAAAGAAGCAGAAAATTTGTTTCATCGCGAAGAAGCATAAATCTGCGAAAGAGTTTGTACAAATAATGCTTTTCTCAGACAACAAAATTTGTTTTTAGTCATTCAATAAGATTATAGTGCAGAAAGATTTTAGGCATTTTTTTTTTGTCTGAAAGCCATGAAATTGAACTGAGACAAGAGAGAAAGAAAGAGAAAGACCTTTCTGCGGTGGCGACGTTGGTGGAGACAACGTCGGTGCAAGCGAATTGCAGAGCTGAGACCACCACCTCTCTCTTCCCCTTATTCTCCATTCTCCTTTCTCTCTCTCTCTCTCTCTCTCTCTCTGTGTGAATGAGTGCGGAAAGCAAATGCAATGTGCTCAAGTTGGGAAATTCGGCGGGTCTTGGTCACTTCCACTGGTGCCTTCATGGATACCCGATTTTGCGGCAGGTCCGAAAACCGACTCTATTATTATTATTATTATTATTAATTTATTATTATTATTATTATTATTAATTTATTATTATTATTATTATTATTGTTATTATTATCGGCAAGCTCTTCAATCCGGCAGGCACCATTTGCTTGATCAATCCGGCGGAATATAAAAATATAGGGTTATATTTTTTATAAAAAAAATCAAATTTAACTAGGCCCAACCCGTAATGTGCGCGTTGAGCCGCGGGGCGGGCAGTTTTTAACCCGCTATGCCCTAACCCGGCCGCTTCTACTTGGGTATTCTTAAGTCTGTAACCCTAATTTCCCAAATCCGCGCCTCCCTCGCCACCTCCTAATCACTTCACACCTCCCTTTGTCCCTCAGTCTCGTACTCTCGATCTCGCCTCCCTCAGTCTCGCACTCTCGATCTTGCCTCCTTCAATCTTGCATTCTCGCCTCCCTCGCCTCCTTCTTAGTTCCTTTTCTTACTTATCATGTCGTTCCTCACACTCGTCGATTGTCATTCCTCATTCTCCGCTCCTCTTCAATCTTGCATTCTCGCCTCCCTCGCCTCCTTCTCAGTTCCTTTTCTTACTTCTCATGTCGTTCCTCACACTCGTCGATTGTCATTCCTCATTCTCCGCTCCTCTTCTTCTTCTTCTCAGTCTCTCGTTGTTCCTCACACTCATCGTTCCTCTTCTTCTTCTTTTTCATTCCTCTTATTTGAACAGATTATTTGAAATCTTCATTGAAGACAATCGGTAAGACTCTAAACTGATTTGATTTTGATTTTGAACTGTGCACTATTTATTGAACTAACTAGTGATAGTTTTGTTTTCAGGTTTTTCTACTAAGAAGAAGGCACCGACTCCGTTCGTGATGATCCTTCCAATTCTTCCCCCAATTCTCGCGAGACCTCCATATTCAGGTTGTTTGGTAATTAGTTTTTGTTAGATTCGAGGTTGTTTTCGCGAGTTTTCTTTGTTGTAAGTTGTAACATGAGAATTTAGGTTGTATATGTTCGGTAAATTACGTTGATTCTTGATTTTTTGATTGAAGAGTCTTTTTTCCTTTCTTTTGTTTGATTGCTGAACTTGGTTTTCTTCATTGAGGACTTCTTTTTGCTTTCTTTTTTCTGATTTCTGAATTGGGGTTGGTCCCTTTTAATTGGGGCTGTGTGTTTTCATCTGCTCGTATGAATGTTTACAGGGATGTTCTTTTTTCTTATTGAAGAGTTTTTTTTCCTTTCATGTGTTTACAGGGCTACAAATGTTTATTATGCCATATTGATTATATTATAAAAATAAAGGAAAGAATATTATTACAAATCAAATAATATGTTGAAAAAGATTGCAAATACATTTCTTAGTGACAGTATAGTATACTGCACTTCAGACTCATTACCAGCCACCGAATGGGGACAAAAAGAGGTTTTTCTTGACAAAAGAGGATTTTTGAACAAAGATTGATTTCAATTTGGGGTTTGCAAACTTGACAATATGTATTGTTGGAGCAAAAAGAAGGCCTACAATGCAGGCCTAATAAATTGCCCACTAGATCATTTTGGGGGGTAATATTGACAAAAATTCTTTAAAATTATATGGATCAGAATTTTATTTTTTACTCTTAATTTATAACATTTTTAGTTAAATCATTACACTAATAAAAAATATTTATCAAAAATAAAAAATAAATGTTCAGACTTATACACTTTTAAAAGTTAATTCTCCGTTGATTCTTTTAGTGGACCTTGTTGAAAAGGGAGAAAGAGAATGCATGTTCTGAGAGGAAAAGCAGTGATGTGATGCCGGCTCATAAAATGTTTCATTATTTAAGATCATTTTAATACATTCAAAAGGCTATAAATGCAAACGTGGTTGATTAAAATACTCTTTATACGGTCAACAACGTATTAAGTTCTGTTTAATTCATCAATTTAAGTTTAAAATTTGAATTTTATTATAATAAAAAGCTCTTAGAAATAGTCACATATAACTTTTTGTTACAAAAAAAAGCTCTTACATAAAGTCACATCTCAATTCAAATTAAAATTTTGAATCAGCGAACTAAACGGGCCTTAAATATAATTACAAAATTCAGTTTTTAGAAATAACATAGGTGTTGCGACATTTGACTTAAGAAAATGCAGTCACATTGGACAACGTCTGTTACATCCCTCTCAAATGGCCGAAAGAGCACTTTGAGAAAATTAAATGGTTAACGCAACGAGACGACAATGTAAGATTTATTATCCTAGGGGCTGTTCGGCAGCTCTATTTTTGAGTTAAAAATTTAAAAAAAGCAACTCGAGTTACAACGAGTGTGTTTGGCTGTCCAAAAAACTAAAAAAAAAAAACAACTCGAGTTCCAACTTTATTTAAGTTCACGTTCTTTTAAGTTTGAACTCGAGTTTGGGACTAAAACTCGAGTTCAAGTGTCCCCTTCAACTCGAGTTCAGAAACTCGAACTCAAATTAATAAACAGTATTTTTTCTATTCTTAAAAATGCTATAACTTTTTCGTTTTAATCCTGATTGAAATAATTTTTTTATGCGTTGACAACGAAAAGACGAACAAAACCCCACCCATATACCTTATTAAAATTTTTCATCACCATTGAGTTTTTATTAAAATACTATTTAAATACAAATTTAAGTTTTAACTCACTCAAACTCAAACTCAAAAAAAGATTCTTATCTCAAACCATAACTCAAATGTACACAACCAAACACAAATTCAAGTTACAACTTCAACTCAAGTTATAACTCAAATTCAACTCAAAAACTACACTCAAGTCACACTCCAAAAGAATAGGCCCAACTTTATTTAAGTTCATGTTCTTTTAAGTTTGAACTCGAGTTTGAGACTAACACTAGAGTTCAAGGCCTTGTTCAGCAGCCTCAAAAACTCAAAAAAAGGCAACTCGAGTTTCAACTTTATTTAAGTTCATATTCTTTTAAGTTTGAACTCGAGTTTGGGACTAAAATTCGAGTTCAAGTTTCCCCTTCAATTCGAGTTCAGAAACTCGAACTCAAATTAATGAACAGTATTTTTTTATTCTTAAAAATGCTATAACTTTTTCGTTTTAATCTTGACTGAGATGATTGCTTTTTCTATGAGTTGACAACGAAAAGACGAATAAAACCCCACCCATATACCCTATTAAAATTTTTCATCACCATTGAGTTTTTATTAAAATACTATCTAAATACAAATTCAAGTTTTGACTCACTCAAACACAAACTCAAGTTACAACTTCAACTCAAGTTATAACTCAAATTCAACTCAAAAACTACATTCAAGTCACACTCCAAAAGAATAGGCCCAACTTTATTTAAGTTCATGTTCTTTTAAGTTTGAACTCGAGTTTGAGACTAACACTAGAGTTCAAGGCCTTGTTCGGCAGCCTCAAAAACTCAAAAAAAGGCAACTCGAGTTTCAACTTTATTTAAGTTCATGTTCTTTTAAGTTTGAACTCGAGTTTGGGACTAAAATTCGAGTTTAAGTTTCCCCTTCAATTCGAGTTCAGAAACTCGAACTCAAATTAATGAATAATATTTTTCTATTCTTAAAAATGTTATAATTTTTTCGTTTTAATTCTGATTGAAATGATTTTTTTTCTATGCGTTGACAACGAAAAGACGAATAAAACCCCACCCATATACCTTATTAAAATTTTTCATCACCATTGAGTTTTTATTAAAATACTATCTAAATACAAATTCAAGTTTTGACTCACTCAAACACAAACTCAAAAATATTCTTATCTCAAACCATAACTCAAATGTACACAACCAAACACAAACTCAAGTTACAACTTCAACTCAAGTTATAACTCAAATTATTCAACTCAAGAACTACACTCAAGTCACACTCTAAAAGAACAGGCCCCAAGTTTCCCCTTCAACTCGAGTTCAGAAACTCGAACTCAAATTAATGAATAATATTTTTCTATTCTTAAAAATGTTATAATTTTTTCGTTTTAATTCTGATTGAAATGATTTTTTTTCTATGCGTTGACAACGAAAAGACGAATAAAACCCCACCCATATACCCTATTAAAATTTTTCATCACCATTGAGTTTTATTAAAATACTATCTAGATACAAATTCAAGTTTTGACTCACTCAAATACAAACTCAAAAAGATTCTTATCTCAACCATAACTCAAATGTATACAACCAAACACAAACTCAGTTACAACTTCAACTCAAGTTATAACTCAAATTCAACTCAAGAACTACACTCAAGTCACACTCCAAAAGAACAGGCCCCAAGTTTCTCCTTCAATTCGAGTTCAGAAACTCGAACTCAAATTAATTAACAGTATTTTTTTATTCTTAAAAATGTTATAATTTTTTCGTTTTAATTCTGATTGAGATGATCTTTTTTTCTATGTGTTGACAACGAAAAGACGAATAAGACCCCACCCATATACCCTATCAAAATTTTCCATCAGCATTTAGTCTTTATTAAAATACTATCTAAATACAAATTCAAGTTTTGACTCACTCAAACATAAACTCAAGTTACAACTTCAACTCAAGTTATAACTCAAACTCAACTCAAAATCTACACTCAAGTCACCTAACTCAAAAAGGGCAAAAGAACAGCCCCCTAGTGTTATGCCAAAGTAAGATATTTGTAGATTCCACCTGCAATCGTTATAAGATTATTGAAATCTCATGACTCCAACTAAAGTAATACAAGTATTGGTCCGGGAAAAGAAAATGATGAAATATTTACAAGTCGTCAAAGCTAGTCGTTAACTTTATGTACGAGACCTGTTTAGTTCGCTGATTCGAGTTTAGATGTGACTTTGTGTTAGAGCTTTTTATTGTAGTAAAAAAATTAGATGTGACTATTTCTGAGAGATTTTTACTGTAACAAAACTCGAATCGGTGAAATGAACGAAATATTAGAGTAGATATTTTATGATTAGCCCCTCATTATATTTTTTTGTTTGTAAGCTCCTTTATTTAAGGCATCATGTTTTTGTCTTCGCATTGTGAAAAAGTTTCTCGTTGCCTAATAGATAACAAACTTAAATCAAAGAGCATCATACATGACAAAGAACGTAACAAAAATTAGTAATAAGGACTAGTGAAAAATGTTATTAAGACTCCACACTTTTGGCTTTTGCCGTCAAACCCCGTAATACTTGCTTTAGAATGATTTTCCTCTTCGACTGTTTTCTCTTCAAGGTCTTCTTGATTTTTAAACGCGTTTCACCTAATGGTCATTTCTAACACAAGCATGCATTTAGGTTCTCGCATACAGCTTTTAAGAATTAAAGGTCATGTTTGGAATTGGTTTTATTTTTATTTTTCACGTTTTTTGAGAAAAAAAATAAAAGCATGAGAAACGGCGTTTGACATACTTAAAGATAAAAAACAGAAATAAAAACAATTTTTTAGTTTAGTGTAAAACATGAGAGAAATGAAAAATAATTTTTAATTGTTTTTTATTTTTTGTTTCTGTTTTCTCCTCTCTTGAGCAGAGAGAGAGAGACATTAATGAATTTTTTTATACTGAAAACAATCTCTTAATAAAACTATCAAACTCATTTTTAAAAATAATTTCTGTCTGAGATTGAAAATATTTTTATTTTTATTTTTATATAAAAAATAAAATCATTTTATAACGAGTTTCAAACGCACCCGAAGATTTATCTTTTCCTAAAACCAGTATTGATTTTGCTCATAAACCATATGTCCTATACTGATTTCATTTTCCTTCCCTTTTTTTTTTGTTTGAAATGAAATTTTTCACTGCCCCTCCTAAATCAATTGCTTGTGAAGTTGCATTCAGTGAAAGAAAAATAAATTGCCCATGAAGCTTGATCGACTGAATTTTTTTTAAAAAAAATAACACCTTGAAAATACTTGAAAAAACAGATAAAAGGTTATGATTGTGATATATTGGCAAAACAATATATCTGAAGGAGCAAAGAATATAGATGGTGCATAGTCGAGTTTATTGTCAGTCTATCACTTCTGAAAACCAGAAGAGTCTACTCCATCAGTTATTCTGTATCGAAAGCACATTAACAACCTCAATCCTCCTGGATCTCCGGCTTCTTTTCACTACCTTTGAGATACCATCCCAGAGCTCCAAAAGCCGTGATTACACCCGCAATAACTGCATAGTTCCGGTGCTTGTCAGTTGATACCCTTTCAGTTGATGCTCCAGAAGTGGAAGCCGAATTAGGTTTGGCCTCAGTTGCCGAACCCCCAGAGCTTGCAGAAGTTGTCTCTTCTGGTTTAGGGCCCTGGAACCATTCAAACCATTTAGCACAGGCAACAGAATGAACACAAAGAAGAGACAAAAGGCAACAAGTTTGGATAAAAAAAAAAGTGGACTTGTTTATGAGACTGAAACACACATCCGGTTCAAAGGCTAGAATACAAAGGGCCCGTGCTTCGAGTTGAGAACTTGAGTTGAAAAGTAAATTTACATGAGAGAAAACACTATAATAAAAAAGTTAAATTGAATTTTATGAGAAAACACTAATAAAAAGTTTGAGTTGTGATTCAAATTGTGAAACGAACGAGCCAAAAACTTAAATACAAAAAGCATTTAAGAGTGTACAAGAAAACCTGAGCAGGCTAAACTCAAGGATAGGATAATAAAAGGCATTAAAAAAAAAAAAAGAAAAAAAAAAAAGAAAGAAAACAAGAATGGTTTATCCATGTCTTGACAGGGTAGATTAAAGTGTGCCATCAAATGAGTTCTTACTCGACTGATCTTGGCAGATACGCAAAGCATATGAATATATCTTATTTTCAGTAGTTCATTCCGCAACGAATAAATCATATGCCTAGATTTGGAAAAACACTTCAAACTTTGTCACCAGTAGAGCTTTCAGAGCCATAGTTCAAAGTAATGATCATCTTTAATTTTTCAGGTGAATATAAGTGACCAGAAAATGAAAAAAAAAAAAAAAAAAAAAGAAAGGTAAAATGTACACTCTGAGCATACCTTGCGTGCTAGCTTCTCGAGCTTCTCTCGCTCAGTTTTCTGAAATTGCAAAGATGACACCATTGCAATAGGAATTAAGACAATGGCACAGAAAAACTGAAGCAGTAAATACTTAATGCAAATAAAAAGTTTCACACAGTTGTGAAAACACAGACAGATATAATTAAGCAGCTTCTTCCAATATAATTAGAGATAGTCTACATCATACAAAAATTCGCATCAACTTGACATAGACAACGATCATCAAAGACGTACATTAGACTTTTCCTTTCAAAGAACCTTAACCATCCACGAATATGATTTTGGTTTTTAAACTTTCCCTCAACCCATACATCTGATTCATATTATAAATACTACCTACTTTCAAAATGAAAAATTATTTTATTATTGTTGAATGATAGTATGAAACAAACCCACAGGACCCGCCAAGTCTATATTCTCCATCCTCATGCTCTCCTCTTTCCTATCAAATCTTAATCTATTTTCTTCTTTCTACCCCCCTCTTGTTTTCTATCTTCTCTTTCTCTCTTCTTATCTGTTCTTCCTTCATCCACTCTCACCTCGTTCCATTCTACAACTCTCGCCCAGTCACTCATCCTCTTCCCCTCATGCTTTCTTTATACTCTCATTCGATAGTGTGAGAAATTGTGAATGAAATTCTCATTCATTTCTGGTTCAATATTACAGCCAATAAATAGAATTACAGGGAAAACATAAAACTAGAAACTACCTAAAATAGGAGACGGTAAGTAAATACCAAATCCTTTATTCTAGGAAACTAATTACAACTAATTTACAGCTAGCAAATACTCTATAAATCAGAGAAGATCCGGTTCCTAGAGATTAGGAAAGAATCTGGATTTCCACACTCCCCCTCAAGCTAGGTTGTAGATGTTGAGCAATCCTAGCTTGGAATTAAGTTCATCAAAAGTCTTCCTGGGAACGGCCTTAGTTAGAATATCTGCTATTTGTTGAGTGGTTGGAATGTATTGAAGTGATATCGTTTTAGCCTCTATTTTCTCTTTGACAAAGTGTCTATCAATCTCGACATATTTCGTTCTGTCCTGATGAACTGGATTCTTTGCTATACTGATAGCTGACTGATTGTCGCATAACACTCTCATAGGTTTTGTAATGGGAATCTTTAGTTCACAAAGTACCCTCTTCAACCACATTCCTTCACAGATACCATGAGCTAGTGCCCTGAACTCTGCCTCTGCACTGCTTCGAGACACTACTGACTGCTTCTTGCTTCGCCACGTAACTAGATTACCCCAGACTTATGTGCAGTATCCTGATGTTGATCTTCTGTCTGTAACAGACCCAGCCCAATCTACATCAATGTAGATCTCAATCTCCATCCTTTCTGACCTTTTAAAGAACAATCCTTGACCTAGCGTCATTTTCAAGTATCTCAGGATCTTGTATACTGCCTCCATGTGTTCTTTTGTTGGGTCGTTCATAAATTGGCTCACCATACTAACAGCAAAACTAATATCAGGTCTAGTGTGGGAGAGATAAATGAGTTTCTCAACTAACCTTTGATACCTTCCTTTGTCAACCGGTGCACTGTCATCCTTTCTTCCCAGTTTTATGTTGGGATCCATAAGAGTGTCAGCAGGCTTGCATCCAAGCATCTATGTTTCGTTCAACAAGTCCAACACATACTTTCGCTGAGAAACTGAAATTCCCTTTCTTGATCGGGCTATCTCCATTCCTAGAAAGTACTTAAGTGTCCTCAAGTCCTTGATCTCAAACTCCCTTGCTAAAAAACTCTTCAGTTTGGTTATTTCTTCCAGATTATCTCCAGTCAGAATTATGTCGTCAACATACACAATGAGAATTGCCTTTTTTTCAGAGGCTGCATGTTTGACAAACATAGTGTGATCTGTCTGACATTGATCATACCCAAACCTTTTTACAGCTTTAGTGAACCTGTCAAACCATGCGCTTGGTGATTGCTTTAGACCATATAGCGACTTCTTGAGTTTGCAGACCTTATTGGATGTTGTTCCACTCTCAAATCTTGGTGGTATCTCCATGTACACTTCTTCTTCTAAATCCCCGTTGAGGAAAGCATTCTTCACATCCAAGCTAAAATAGCGGCCAGTCTAGATTGGAAGCAAGAGAAAGTAACACTTGAACTGTATTAAGCTTTGCTACAGGAGCAAAGGTCTCCTGGTAATCAATTCCCTAAGATTGAGTAAACCCCTTAGCAACAAGTTGGGCCTTAAATCTGTTTATACTGCCATCAACATTGTGCTTGACTATGAAGATCCATTTACAACCAACCGGGGCGTTTGTCTGCTGGTAACTCCAATATTTCCCAAGTTCCATTCTTTTCCAGTGCCTGAATTTCTTCCAAAATAGCTTCCTTCCACTCTGGTACTTTGAGTGCTTCATGTATTGAGCTTGGAACCAGTATTTTGTCAAGATTGCTAACAAAGGCATAGTGACTACGTGACAATCCTTTATATGATACAAAATTGTAAATCGGATGATCAGTGCACGACCTTTTTCCTTTTCTCCAGACAATAGGTCTATCATCAATAGGAGGATTGACAGGTGTGAGTTCAGAACTAGTGTTACCTGGTGAATTCTGAGATTCAAGATTCGGATTGGATTCATGGTTCTGATCAGGTGTCAGCCTTTCTCTTCCTTCTTGAGCTTTGGGTCTCCTAGTGTAAACACGAAACTCTTTTGTTGCAGGTGGTGTTTGGAATTCTGCCTGGGAATGAGATTCAGATTGAGTGGCTGAAGTAAGGTCATGATTTTGTTGAGGTGACTCTGTTTGGACTGGTTGGGATAACCCGAGCTCGGGTTGGATTTGACTGGATTGAAGAATTGAAGGTTCTGAGATATTTGAATTAAGAGCTCCAGATGGTTCCAGGGTATTAATATCCCAAGATTGGTATTCTTGAGTATAGTTCTCCCCCTGAATACCAATTTTGTAATAGGGTCGTTGCTCAAAGAATGTAACATCCATGGTGTTATAGAACTTTCTTGTGACAGGTGAATAGCATTTATACCCCTTTTGATTGGAAGAGTACCCAACAAAGATGCATTTGAGTGACTTGGGATCAAGTTTTACTTCTGTGTTGGGCATATATATGGACAAATGTGGAGCAACCAAAGATTTTCATGGGAAGGTTGGATAAGAGACGAGTATTTGGAAAGGAATGGAGAAGTGCCTGGTGCGGTGTTTGGAAATTCAAGACTCGAGAGGGCATTTTGTTTATTAGGTAAGCAGCTGTCAACATTGCTTCACCCCAGAAAAATTTTGGAACATGTGTGGTAAACATAAGAGATCGAGCAACTTCCAGAAGGTGCCTATTTTTCCTTTCGGCAATCCCATTTTGTTGGGGTGTGTCGACACATGAACTTTGGTGAACAATTCCCTGACTATCAAGGTAATCACCCAGAGTCATTTCAAAGTATTCTTTTGCATTATCTGTTTTCAATACTTGTATTTTTGTCTGGAATTAGGTTTCAATCATGGTATTGAATTTTTTGAAGATTGGACCAACTTCAGATTTTTCCTTCATAAGAAACAACCATGTGATTCTAGTATGATCATCAACAAATGACACAAACCACCTAGTACCCACGATATTTTTTATTCTAGATGGCCCCCACACATCACTATGAATCATCAAAAAAGGTTGTGATGCTCTATATGGAAGATTGCGATAAGGTATACGAGTGTGTTTAGAGAATTGGCACACTTCACACTGAAACATTTTTGGATTTTTATTTCTGAAAAATGTTGGAAACAATTTTTGAAGATACAAGAAATTAGGATGGCCTAATCTATAGTGCCACAACATAATAGTATTGTCTTTATTGGAAGGAAAAAGACTTTTATTTGACTCAACACGTACTGCACTATGAGTTTGTCCTCTAGGAGATCCCTCAGCTTTAAGAAGAAATAGTCCGGAATACACCTTAGCATTGCCAATCGTCCTCCCCGAAGTCAAATCCTGAAATTCACACAAATTTGACGAAAACTTAGCAACACAGTTATGTTCTCGAGTTAGCTTGCTGATGGACAAGAGATTACAATCAAGATTCAGGACATAGAGGACAAAATTTAGACTAAGGTCCTTTGAAATAATAATAGAACCTGTTCCGGCTACTCCAGAGTGAGATCCATCGGCTATTGTCACTGTAACGTTTTCTTGACATGGATTGTACTTGTGAAACATTGAGATATCTCCTGTCATATGATCAGAGGCTCCCGAATCTACAATCCATGACTTTGAATTCTTGGATTTTACAGTAAGGGCACTAATGTGATTACCTTTTTGTGCTACTGTTCCTGTTCCAATGATATTGAGACTTGTATTCTGTTATGAGAACATTTTTTGTAGGGTCTCAAGTTGTTCTTTGCTGAAAGGGCTTGATTCGATGGAAGGTGTTCCTTCTTCTGCTGAAGCATGATTGCCACGGCTTTCTTTGTCAGGAGCAGGCCTTGAAGGTTTCCAATCTGCAGGCTTGCCGTGGATTTTCCAGCAGGTATCTCGGGTATGGCTAGGTTTTCTGCAGTGCTCACACTATGCTCTTCCCTTCCTTCCCCAATTGTCACTGCTGTTAGGTTGAAAACCTCGAGCAGCAAGGGCTGAACTTTGATCTGCGGTTGGATTACCCAGAACATCCCCCATCATCACCTTCTTCATGTTCTCTTCTCTTCGCACCTCGGAGAAGGCTTCACGGATGCTGGGCAAGGGTTTTATTCCTAGAATTCGCCCCGAACCTCATCAAGATTCTTATTAAGTCCCATAAGAAACTTGAATATCCTTTTCTTTTCAACTATCTCTCTGAATTTATTTGCATCATTAGGACATTCCCAATGATGTTCCTCAAATACATCCAACCGTTGCCAATGGCGGGTTAAAATGCCATAGTATTGAGTGACATTAAGATCCCCTTCCGAAGATCATGAAGACTGCTTTCAGTCTCGAATATCTCTAAGGTGTTTTCTTTGCTGGAATAGAATTCCTTTGCTGCCTCCCAGATTTCCTGTGCTGTTCTGTAGAGGAGAAAATTCTCGCCAATTTCATTAGTCATAGAATTGATTAGCCAGGACATTACCAAGTTGTTTTCCACCTTCCACATTCTGTACTTCGGATCACCATCCTTTGGAGGAACGATTTCTCCTGTGAGATACTCGTCCTTTCCTCGCCCGCAGATGAACATCTTGACAGATTGTGACCATTGAAGATAGTTATTCCCATTTAATTTGTGTCCTATAATGGGAATTTGGATACTCTCATATCCATCATGGCTGCCTCTGGTTTCGATGATCCTTCAGTGGAGGGCTCAGTTAGCTTTTCACCAGCCATCCCATACTTGGTCATCAGAAATTTTTAGAGGTTCAGAGAGTGTTCTGATACCATGTGAGAAATTGTGAATGAAATTCTCATTCATTTCTGGTTCAATATTACAGCCAATAAATAAAATTACAGGGAAAACATAAAACTAGAAACTGCCTAAAATAGGAAACGGTAAGTAAATACCAAATCCTTTATTCTAGGAAACTAATTACAACTAATTTACAGCTAGCAAATACTCTATAAATCAACGAAGATCCGGTTCCTAGAGATCAAGAAAGAATCCGGATTTCCACACAGAGGATAATGGAGATTCCAGTGAGGTGAGGGGATGAGAAGGTTGAGAGAAAAAGGGATATGGTCAAATAAGCAAGACTAGATCGACTCTGTTATTCTGACAGGAAAAAAAAAATGTCAATCTGAAAAGGATTTGAAACACAATTGGTTACTTTTTCTTTCCTCTTTAAGTATGATCATCGCAGGTAATCACAAAATAAACTTCACAAATATGTATGAGTGCCCACACTGGAATTCATTCAATTGTAGAAAGGCATGCTACAATTCTCAGAGACCTAAGGATCCTCGTCAGTGTAAATTAAGATTTCAACACTCACAACTACATATCATATATGCATGCATGCATACTTACATACATAAGATATGGGTGTTTCCAAGGGTAACAAATATAATCTAGCAAAACAGTTTTGCCTGTGAGTTCCAACTCTGAAAAAGACAAAAAAAGGGTTGCAGATTGAATTGGCAACAAGAAGGATAACAGATTGAATTGGCAACAATAAGGATAACAGATTGAATTGGTAACAATAAGGGCAACAGATTGAATTGGAAACAATTCATCCAAAATCCCTTCATCAAAAAGTATTCAGAGGCATTAAGCAAATAAATAGAAACAAGGGTACTGAGGGTACAATGCCATCCTACTAAACAGCATCGGGCATTCACCTCGTAGCCCTCAAAGGGAACCTCAAGCAGGTACGTTATGTCTGGCAGAAGCTATCAACAATGTTCATTTCGATAGCTCAACTAGTGAAGAATAAAAGTGACAGCCTACCACATTAAACACTGAGGAAAAAAAAAAGACAAAAAAAAGAAAAATCTGGAATACCTCCCACTTCAGCACACAGTAATGAAAGATATGCATTCGAACATATCGTTTACATTTTCAGCAACTCCTTAAAGGATATAGAAGAACGCTTTTCTCTTTGTGGGGGAAAAGAATTAAAATAACAATAATAATAATAATGCAGATTTCAGCAACAACTTTCAAACTTCTTGAACAAGAATCCTCCTCCTTCAAATCATAAAGACTAATCCTAGAAATCAGCTAATTAATTGGACTTGTATAACCGAAATTACTTAATATAAAACAGAAATCTGAGAATATGAAACTGTTCTAACAGATTCAATAAAACAGGGAATCAACCAAAGAATCATACAAAATTAGCCTGAAGTTTATAATTAAATAACAGGGTCGACAAAATTTCCAAAAAAAAAAAATCCCAGACATAACTAAAAAATTGCTGAAATGCATAATAAACACATGAAGGGAATTTGAAAGATTGCCTTAATATAAACATTCTCGGCAGCTTTTTCCTCCTCGCTTAGCATTTTGCCACCACTTGAGAACCTCCGAGATGCGAATCTTGCAGCGATCCTCGACGCCATTTCTCTTCCATTAACAATAACAAGCTTGCAAATCAAAATCAAAATACTCGAATAAACGTTTATCATTTCTTTATTAATTTTGTTTTTTGCTCGGTAGAAGTTTACCAAATCAATTATTCGTTTAACCGAAAACTAAAATGAATTATTCTCGGATGATCTAAAAAATTCATGAACTAGTATTGTAGCATATGAAATCATCCACAAATTGAAGCTTTGCCCTAATTTAAAAAAAAAATATATCGAGAAGCAGATTGAAAGACCAATACTAATATCAAAGAAAAAAAAACTACTATGGGAAATGCGAAAAGAAAATTGACGGGGAAAGAATAAAAGGATTGGCGTACCGGATAATTGCAGAGATTCAGACGAGAAAGACGAAGAGTAATTTCACTCCGTTTTATGGAGGGCTTTGGAGGGTTTTTAAATTGTGAACCTGAGCCGAGGAAACGGAAGATACTTGTCGTGCTAATTAGCCCCCAATATTTTCCCTTTAAAAAAAAAATTAAAGAGAATTTGACTTGGTTGATTTTACAAGCATATCAAATTTTATGTAAAATTACATCCCGTTTAGTTCGTTAATTTAAATTTTTAATTTAAGTTGATATGTAATTTTAAGTGAGAGTTTTTTACTATAATAAAAAAATTAGATGTGACTATTCCTGAAAATTTTTTATTATAGTAAAACTCGAATTGTAAATTCGAATCGATGAAATGAAAGCCTTAGGGGTTGTTTTTTTGGAGTGTTACTTGAGTGTAGTTTTTTAGTTGAATTTGAGTTATAACTTGAGTTTAAAGTTGTAACTTGAATAAAGTTGAATAAAGTTGAAACTTAAAAGAACGTGAACTTGAATAAAATTGTAACTTGAGTTTAAACTTTTTCAGAGTTTTGTTGTAAAAGGACAACCCCTTAGGGGTTGTTCTTTTGTCTAAAAAACTCAAAAAAAGATAACTTGAGTTTCAACTTTATTCAAGTTCACATTCTTTTAAGTTCCAACTTTATTCAACTTTACTCAACTTTATTCAAGTTACAACTTCAACTCAAGTTATAACTCAAATTCAACTTTATTCAAGTTCACGTTCTTTTAAGTTCCAACTTTATTCAACTTTACTCAACTTTATTCAAGTTACAACTTCAACTCAAGTTATAACTCAAATTCAACTTAAAAACTACACTTAAGTTACACTCTAAAAGAACAACTCCGTCTCTCTCCAAAACAAATACTAATACTAATGTTATATTTACAAAATGATATTGGTGATGTGTTAATTTATTTTGTGCAATAAAATAAAGCATAATATCATTTGAGATGTTATACTTATTTTTTCTCGTTATTATAATGTTTTGAAACTCGTAAAACCAAGCATATGATAATGAAAAAAATTTCAAAAGGACATAATGATTAAAATAAGAAAGTTAATGTTAATGTATAACTAGTGACAATTAAATGTTAAATTTGAAATTTGTTATGTTTTGTGGCAAATCTGCAATCAAAGTTAAGTAGAATTGAATCTCCTAGTTTATTTATGGGGAAGGAGGGAAATAACATATTTAGTAGAATGTTTAGTAAATTATAGCATATTTTTTAAAGATGATAGATTATAGCATAATTTGATATTTTAAGTTTTAAACGTTATTTAAAAATCTAAAAATACCCCTAAGCCTCCCACCTCTTTCTTCTTCTCCTTACAGATATAGTAGAAAATAGGTCAATATGAAAAGCTTAAGAAAGTATATAAGCCAATTTTTAGTTATATAAATTAATAGGCCATAACTTGTCAAGTTATGGTTCATAACCAGATAAATTATGGACAAAATTGTTAAGTTATGGTTCATAGCTAGACAAGTTATGGATAAAAATCGTGAATTATGAACAATAACTTATCAAGTTATGGTTCATAACCAGACAAGTTATGGACAAAAACAGTAATTTGGCCTATTTATTAACTTATGTAAACTATTGGCCTATTAATTTTAATTCATCTTAAGTCTTGGCCTATTTCCCTCTTTCTCCCTTCTCCTTATAGTCTAAGTCCACCGTAGAAGGCTCTGGCGACAGGCCACTGTCTCCGACGACATTTTTCCAGCGACTAACAACCAATCTGGCAGCCAAAGTTTTTCGATGACTAGCTTCGGCGACTGGTAAATACTGTATTTATCAATAAATACCTTATTTATCAGAAAATACCATATTTATCTGAAAATCTGGCAACCTGTTCCGGCGATTGGTAAATACCATGTAAATACCATATTTACCAGCATATTTACTAGATTAGGAATTGTATTTAGTTAAATATTTACTCATAAATACAGTAGTTACCATATTCAAACTTGAATCTAGTGAAATATTTACTGGTAAATATAGTATTTACCAAATTCAAACTCGAATTTAGTGAAGTATTTACTGATAAATGCAAAATTTACTAAATTTAAAATTAGATTCAGTGATGTATTTACTTAGAAATACAATATTTACTCAAAAATCCAAAAACTTTCTTAAATCAAATCACAATAAAAAAAACATGAAAAATACACAAAAATGATCGTGCCTTATTCATACAGAGTTCAAACATCCCTCTGAGTACTTTTTCTCAGGCCAAACCTCAAGCCAATATATGGATCAAACCAAGCAATTTGAGTGAACTTAAAGTCATGCGGGTGAAGAGACTTCAAAATACCATGAAAATCACAAACTCACAAAACAAAAGAAAATCACAAACTCATAAATGGGAGAAAATCACGAACTCGCATCTTCATGTTGGTTTCCGAATTGAATTCGGGTGCAGAAGCGTGGAAACACATATCGGGTCCGAACAAAAATTTTCATAAGACTTTTAAGAACGTTATAAAATATATTAATTTACACAATAATAAATTAATCATATTAATTTATAAAAATAGATACCTAGCGAACGATTAAGCGAATAACTTGAGGTCTTTGACCACTAACAGTCCAAGCTCCAAGCTTTCTTAGAAAACTCAAATCTTCCTCGTCTGATCCTTGAAATCTGCAAGACGTAGAGTGTGAGCTCTAATATGAAACTATCGGATTATGATCACTCATAATTTTCTATTTCACCGCTATCAACGCATGTATGTGATGAAACTGAGAATTGAAAAAACTTTTCTTCTATTTTTCTCTCAGGTTATACAACTATCACTGAAATATTACACGCTGTCAAACAGAATATTACGCACCTGTAACAGCTATGTTACACCCCTATCTCATAAGGGAAGGGAGGAACAATTGTGTTCTCTAATTTTCTATTGTCTCTTATTTATAGAACACTAAGAGGACCCATTTGCTTAAACTTGAAGATAAAGCAATATAAAATTTGTCAGTTTAAATCTTATTGAAAATACAGTTTCCCATTTAATTTTGGAAACAAAATTTCTCCCTTCCCTTTTTATATGGCCGACCACACCACAGGGAGATCTCCCTGTGGTTGGCGCAAATAGCAGGCAGGAGAGAGACAAAATTACTCATTAATCTAGTTTCTAATTTTAACTCAAATTCAAGCTTAAATGTTACATTTACCTAGTAAATTCTTCATTTACCATACAAACTCAATTTTTGTATTTTCGTAAAATGATGATTTTACCATGTAAACCAACTTACATGGTAAGTTGTCAATTTACGAGAAGGTAACTTGTTATTTACAACATCAGATCCTCAGTTTGACTAATAAATCCTCAATTTATCAAAATGAATAGAATTTTGTATGTTGGTTTATGAAGCATTTACAAAGTAAATAATGGATTTACTGTGTAAATTGTCAATTTTTCAATAAAATAATTTGCTGTTTACAACATTAAAGCATTTGTTTAACTAGTAAATCCATCATTTACCATGTACATCTTCTATTTACCAAATTGAACATAGTTTGTTTGTTGATAAATGAAGCATTTACAATGTAAAATTTGCATTTACTAACATCCTCAATTCAAACCCTAAAATCCACACGCACACAAAACCACTCCGTGGCGTCTCTGGTCAGCTTCTCTGGCGATGATGGTGGCACACCAGCAATGCTGCTTTGCTCGCGTCTTTGTCAATGGCGAGATCAGATCGTCGTTGCTCCACACGACTCATTGTCTCGAAGTCCATTAGGGATGAAGGCCAGACATAGAGGATGAGAGAGAGAGGAGAGAGAAAGAGAGACGACGTGCGAGGGAGATTAGAAAGAAAGGAAGAAAGAGAGAGATTGAGAGAACAAAGAGTTTGATGACATTTAATATCTGCTATAAATTTATTGTAGTAAAATTTAAATTTTAAACTCAAATCGGTGAAATTAACGGAACCTTTACTCCTCTATTTTGTTATCTCCCTCATTCAAAAAAAAAAAAAAGAAAAAAGAAAAGAAAAAAAGAACAACATAAATATGATATTAAACCAGAATAAGTATTCTCCCATGCCACGTCATTTGTGTCGTGGCATACCACAATTGGCCAGTCTTATGTGGCACAATCACACTGCACACGAGTGATAGCCGCTAACATGCGCCGTCTTCCCTATTCCGTCTAATTTGCACACCCTGCTCATTTCTTTCCTTTTCCGTTTGTTTCCCGAGAAAACGCCCACAAGTAAAGTAAAACACAAATCGAGAAGAAAGAGAGAGTTTCATCGAGACAATTTTAAAACCATGGCGGTGAGAGCGACAGTGTCTCGGTTCCCGATCGACTCGGACGCGCAGGAGAGCTCGGGGCTCCCGTGGGGCGTCACGGTGACGCCGTTCGCCGCCAAAGACGAGGAAGGCCGGTCGCCGGCGTACGGAACAGACGGACACCTTTTGCCGCGGTGCGAAAACTGCTGGGCCTACTTCAGCACCTTCTGTGATCTTGATCAATGGAGCTGGACTTGCTGCCTCTGTTCGCAGCTCAATGGCTTCTCTTCCAAAGCCATCGCTCGCTATTCTCACCCTGAGTCTTGTCCTGAGATGACTTCTTCATTCGTCGATCTCGAGCTTCCTGGTCAGAATAATTCTATTTTCTCACATGCTTTTACTTTTCTTGTTAGTTTTTCCAAATTTGGATCTTGAATTGCCTCGTCAATCTGCATTGACCCGAGGGATCTAAAGAAGAACAGAGGCTGAATTCTGTTAGTAACAAGTGAATTGTAATTTGAATTGTTAAGTGTTTTGAAAATCTTTTTTTGGTATATTTTTATTAGTTGATACATTGACTTGATTTGATGTTCTATTGGAGTGTGAAAGTAGAGATCTTGACAAGAACAAAGGCTAAATCCATTTAGTAAGAAGTACATATTTTTCTGTATAAAATCTCAATTTCAAGGTTTCTGAAATTTATTTTCCTGTTTGTTTGGCTGCAGAGAAAACTTGAACCACTGAAAACTGAGGTGTTTGAGATTTCCCATTGGCTAATTCTTATTACTCGTTTGGCTTTTTTTCCCCTCTTCTTTTTTGCAGAGGAAAGATCGGATGAAGGGATGCAACCTCAGCCGGTATATGTTGCTGCCATTGATTTGTCTTGTAAGATTTGATTGATCACGTGGTTTGGTTTTGAGCGCTTTTTTTTTTCCCCCACGGTAATCAGTGTTATAATGTCGACGACAGTCTTTTCTGCTGCCTATGTTTGAGATTAATAGTAGTCTTGAACTCTAATTTTCTTCTTATGGATGCTAAAAGAGAATAGTTTGCAATAATGAAGTGTTTTCTCGCAATGTCAATGCTTTCACAGGTTGGCACAAGACTAGAATATGGTTTTTTATTTATATTAAATAGAAGTACAATTCACTTTAAGTAGGTGGTTTTCCATATGTGCCAAGTTTTTAGGTTAAAAGTTATTGAGGGGCTATTTTCAATATTTGGGCATTTAAAAAAAAATATGGCATGTATTAGTGATGATCATACTTGTAAAGCTGGATGGATAAATCCGAATGCAAGAAGTTCTCTCCACCTGATCAAGAAATAGCTATTAAGTTGAAGCAACTTTTTAGGGTTGCTATGATCCTCACACTGATTTATGATACTGAAATTTGGGGCGATAAAGAAATTATATAGTATGATGAGTAGTGAAAATGTTAACATTAGATGGCTATGTTGCAATACCTGAAAGGAGGGAATTGGATAAAAAGAAGGAATATTTTCGTGTTGTTCGCTATGTGGAGGTTCCTTATCTCCGTTACTTTTTCCCCTTCTTGGAAGCTTGGTGACTTTCACCCCAATTATTGTCAAGTTTATTGTTGGTGCTCCAATGGTGATTCAGATGCAATTTGGCCTTGAGGATTGTCGTTAAGAAAATATCTCCTTCTTTTTATCTAATTGTCAGATTTGCCATTGTAGTGGGAGTGTGAGCCTCGTTGCTGGATTTGGAGGAAATATCCAATGCATTTTAGCATCAAGAACATTTTGGTGGAATGCCATAGTTTTGTTTTTGACTGGATATTTGGTTTAAGGAGGAGGTGAGGAGACTTGAGTGTTCTGAAGAACCGGTAACTGTCCATAATGTGATGGCTTTCCAATGTAGTGTTAACAAGCTACAATGAGAAAGACAAATGGGAAGAAAGGAGAGGGGAAAAGGGAGGAGGGATTTCTCAATGCCAAAATTACTCTAAAACGTAGAAGGAAACCCAAGAATTAACTAGAAGGAAAATTCTAACTAGCGTTTAATGCATAGAGGCATTTAACCGGCTTGTTCTTAGGATAGTGTATCATGAACTCCTATCTATATCCTCATTAATGATTGCTTAGCTTTTCAAAATTTCATTTCTAAAAATTTAGTGGAAATAATGAGGTCCGATATACAATTCTATGAATAGCTTCGACCAGGTTTGGGTGGGTTTAATTGCATTCCAAAAGAAAAGGAAAGCTTGTTATGACTTATTACAACAACAGACATGACTTTATAGTTAGGAAAGCTAGTTATGACTTATGATCTATAGTGTTCTATGATATACTCTGTGTGTGTGTGATTGGGGGGGTTGTTCTTTTCATATTCTTGAATAGAAAATTCGGACTTTAATTTAAATTTTTGTGAGAGAAAAAGCTGTAGCAAAAAGTTTGAATTGTGATTCAAACCTAGGAAAAGAACGGGGCCATAGTAGTCCTAGGATTGTAATGGTAGATTCAACAAACTCGATTACGAGTTCAGATTAAATATCTTTGTTAACTCTCCAAAGAAAATTCTGAGGATAAGCTTGAATAAGTTCTGTTGTAGCCCATATGGATAATATTTTTATTAAATTGAACCCACGTTGACATTTCCTCTCTCTTCCCTGTGGTTACTGTCTTCAGCCTAATTATTTTCATATGAAAGTCCTCTGTATACGATTGAACTTCTAATTTCTTTCTGGATTAAATTGCAGCCTCAGAAGAATTTCTGGAACTTACTAAGAGCGCACTTCTGGCAGCCTTAGAGGGTAATATTAACCCCTAATGACTACTTATTTCTTGCATGAGTCCTGTTCTTGGAAGAATATGAATCCTACCATAATTACTATTTTCTTTTCAGCTCTTGGGCCTGGTTCACTATTTGGGCTTGCTACCTTCAGCCACAAATTGGGGTTATATGATGTTCAAGGGCCTATCCCAGTAGTGAAGAACGTATTCATTCCCCCTGATACAGAGGGGACTTTACCAATAGAGCTTGAAGATGTCATGCCTTTGTTACAATTCTTGGCTCCTGTATGGTATTCATTTGGTCTTATATTTATTGTTCGTCTTTCCCTTTTTTTTTTTGCATCCTGGGAGAAACTTTAGTTTAGTTTCCTTTTCAATACCTGGAACTATACCGTCTATTCACTAAGTTTTCTTGTAGTCATAAACTCAGTAACTTTGCTGCAGGTAGAAACTTGTAAGGATCGTATTGCATCTGCACTTGAAACACTTAGACCAACAACTTCGTGGGAGAGAACCACAGGAGCAGGTCAAGGATTGGATGGTATTTTAATGGGTGGGCGAGGTTTTGGGGCGGCAATGGAAGCCCTTCTAAATTACCTTGGATCCGAATATGGAAGCACATTTGCATTAGGTTTGTGGATCAATTTCAAAACTGAATTAACTTGATAGTTACATGATTTTATGGAGTTAAAAGGTTCAACTTTCAGCATTCATGTAATTTTGTAAACATAAACCACCATATATATTAAAAAATCATGACATGTTCTTGTCTCCTTTCAACATCTGCAGCTAGAGTCTTTGCTTTTCTATCCGGTCCTCCTGATTATGGACCTGGGCAATTAGATACGAGACGCTATGGTGAACAATATGCTAGTAAAGGAGAGGATGCGGATCGGGCTTTACTTCCTGAGCAGACACCTTTTTACAAAGATCTGGTAATACAATGTTGCTTATTTTAATAAAGTCTCTTCTCTATTCTTTTGTGAAAAAAGCGGAATAAATTAAGCATTTAAAACATATTTTACAGGCTGCACTTGCTGCACAAGCAGGTGTTTGTGTGGATATATTTGCTGTCACCAATGAGTATACAGATTTGGCTTCGCTAAAGTTTCTCAGCATAGAAAGTGGGGGCTCATTATTTTTGTATTCTAGCACCGATGATTCAACCCTTCCCCAGGACATGTAAGCAGTGAATATGCTTGTTCTGGCAGTGGCATCTTTTTCTAGTGTGAATGGACAAGAGATGGCCCGTGTTTCGTTCCTTTTCTCAAGGTTATGATATCATGATTACTATTTTTGTTTTTATTTTTCTTTTGTAGGTATCGGATGCTAAGTCGGCCATACGCTTTTGGGTGTATATTACGGCTGAGGACATCAACTGAATTCAAACCTGGGCATTCCGTGAGTATACACCTCCATTTTATGTTATACTTGACCTTATCAAATATACTATTTCTTATTGTATTCTAATTGTTATGTTGCAGTATGGTCATTTTTTTCCAGATCCGCAGTATGAAAATGTTCAACACATTATATGTTGTGATTCTTATGCAACATATGCTTATGATTTTGAGTTTGCAAGTGCTGATGGTTTTTCAAGGTAGGTAACCTTTTGTATGTTCCGTTACTGTATTATCTTGCTATTGGAAAGGATTGATGATACTATGAGAAAATTTGCTTTCAAGCATTGGACTATAGGAAAATTTAGAATTGCATTCATGCGATCTCTAAAGGGGCATACAAGAATTGCAATCATTGTTCTCCAGAAACACTAGTATGGTATTTGGTGGTTTGTTGGGGTGGGTGGAGGCGGTTGGGGTGGTTTGCTTAGAAGCAATAGAGTATGAAATATTTGAGAATTGCAATAGAGTATGAAAAGTTTGAGAATTGCCTCTCTCGTGATCTCTGAAAGAGCTAAAAGAATTGCAATCATTGGAAGGTATAACCTATTTGTTGTCTTCAGAAGCAACTATTATGATCGAATAAAGGAGATTAAACGTATAACTTGTGTTGTTATTCGGTTTTTTCTTTGTCGTTAAAAAAAATCGTATTATGTGAATTCTAATGGAAACAAAAATATCCAAGAAAGACATTGATAAAGACTGTTGTTTGGAACAAAATCAAGAAAAGAACTGAAAGAAAGAAGAAAAGCATCACGGTAGACTTTATTGATTGTAGAAATGTACACTCCAATCGGCAGAACTTCAAGGGTCTGCTTCCTCCCCTTACTTGGAATCTTTCCAAGATTTGTACAAGATTTCTGTTAATTTCCCGATGCCTGTCTATCCCTCTTGCCCCCCCCCCCATTTTATACACTTTCCCTCTAACAAACAAACTTTCTCAGTAAGCTAACTAAATTAATACTAACACTTCCACAGCAAGCTTCCAACGCCTACAGCAAGCTAAAGACAGCCTTTCCTAACCCTGTTTATTCCTCCTAACATACACTTGCCTGAGTAGGGGCTTATCAGACATTTCCAATAACGGAAAGATGTGTAGCATCAAGCGAAAATAGTTAATGGTGTATTTGGGGATCAGATCTTTGGACCACATTTTACAGTAGGATTGTGGCGACTAAATATTCTTGTTTTTTCTTCTTTTGGTTGACTTGATTTTCTGTATCACCATTTGAATGAAGCTTCTTTCTTACTGCATGGCATAACTGTTGGCTCAATGCCTGTACTTGCTTGACACATGGCTTAATCTAAATCTTGAGTGACTGTTTTGCTCCTGCAGACATGGATCAGAACCTCCCCCTATGGTACAGATTGCATTTCAGTACACAGTTGTTGTGCCTCCCGTGGAGCTTTCTAATTCTAGGCCTCTTTCCTTAAGTAGGTATGGTTGGTTCTCAATGTCAGCTGTGTCACTGTGTGTTATCTTGTGTTGAACCAACACTTTCAAGCATTTTATTTTTTCAATTACACTTCTTAATGAATGCAATGCCAATACCTTTCACCATATTCTCATAATTCATGCCTATGCATAATAGCATCTGAAATGAGCTTCCTGTATTCTCTTTATAGGGGAAAATATGCACTCAAACGTCGCTTAAGGATTCGAACATTGCAATTTTCAACTGCTCAAAACATCAGTGAGATCTATGACAGTGTTGCTCCTGAAGTGGTCTTATCATTACTTGTTCACAAGGTAATTCCAATACTTTGCTATGCCATTCACGTATCCCATTCCCATGGTTTGTTTTTGTCCCTATCTTTGAGGTTGATTCACATTGCACTTTTGTTTTATTAATTATCTGTGAATTTGGAGTTCCAATACAACTTTCTGTTTTCTATTTCTTCGACATAGACTGAATGGCATGTCATCTTTGAGTTCAAGATAGACGTGTATCGTATTTTTTCCCCAAAATTGCAAAACTCATCTGTCATATGGCAAGTTCTTTAATTTCTAGGATTTGTCTTAGCTAGCTGAATATTTACTCTTACTGTATAACGTTCTTCATACTTGTTAATTAAACATTCTATTGACTCACACAGGTTATCCTAGCCTCATTGGAGCAAGGGGTTCGAGAGGGTAGGCTGTTGCTTCATGATTGGCTTGTGATCCTGACGGCCCAATACAATAATGCTTATAAACTTGTTCAATACCATAGCGGAAGTTCAATAACTTCTCAGATTGATGTTTCATTCTCACAATGCCCTGAAATGCAGCGTTTACCTCGCTTAGTCTTTGCTTTGTTGCGGAATCCTCTGCTTCGACTTCACGAAGAAGGTGTACATCCTGACTACCGCATCTTCTTGCAGTGCCTCTTAAGGTATTGGGCTCGGCTCATAATGAATGTAATTGCTGTTCTTGGCTTGTTGCAGGGTTTAAATGACTAGCATATCTGATAAGGATTATGCATTACTTTTCGTTCTTGTTTGGTACTTTTTTTTCTTTTTGAAATTATTTTCCCCATTCTTTGTGTCTTCTTAAACATTCTTCATTTTTGTATTTACTGATTTATTGATTGGATTTTCGTTTCTGTGGAGATCTATTGTTTTGAATGGATTTTATTTGCCTATTGAAACATGTTTCTGTTGCTAAATTAATTTTCACTTCACGTGTGTTGAGTCAACTTTCTACAACATTATCTTTTGGTGATTGATGCCTGAGAATTAGCAGCAAGAGTCTCTTATGATTAGACCTAATTATTGATTTTGTCTTCCCTTTTCTCTTCGATTTCTAAAACTTTTTTGCAGTGTACTGGAACCAAGTTCCCTTCAGCGTGCTGTGTATCCGGTGCTGACCTCGTACTCTACTCCAGATGAGCAAGCATATCCAAGCCACTCATTGAGTCGTGCTGCACTGATTACTAGTGGAAGTCCAATATTTTTCCTTGATGCATTTACAACTCTAGTTGTGTTTTATTCTTCGACGGCAGATCCTACCCTTCCTTATCCTCCACCCCATGATTGTAAGTGCACAATATTTCTTGTTGCGTTTCTATTATGAGACAGTTCGTGAAAATGGTTATGCTTCACTTTTAACATTCGATAATATTTTAGGTTTATTGAGGACCACTATCAACAAATTGAAGCAAGAGAGGTGTATAACTCCAAAACTCATTTTTATCCGGGGAGGGCAGGAGGATGCTACCATTTTTGAGAACTATCTCATCGAGGAACAGGATGTTGACGGAAGTGGTCTAACCAGCGTTACAGGTTTTGTTTCCTTTCTTGAGGAGGTCACACAGAGCGTATTAGAATACATGAAGTAAATGGTTATGGCTGAATTGAAATCACAAAAGCGTTGGAAGAGATGCAACTATGCATTACAGAGGTGCTGGAATTGGATGAAGAAGCCAGATCTCATGTTCTGTCTGATATAACAAAGGTTGAAAAGTTATCTCCTTGTCGAAACAAGGAGGCCTACTTTGAATAGTAATTGGCTCGGAGAACCCCTAATAGGAGCCCCAAAGATGCAATATATTGAAATCGTAGACGTTCGTGATTTCTTCGTTAAAACAAAGTTTCCGGAAGGCAGTGCTGCTCATTTTTGTTTCATCGTGAATATAGATCATAAAAGTAGATTTTATTTCGCATTGTTTCATGTAGGAACAGCAAACTGATGCGAGTTCTTTGGTTTTTCTATACTCACTTCCCCTCGATTCCATTTTTTTGCTTTAGTTTTTGTTATGGTTTTGATAATTTATGGATTGTTTTCTTTTTTGTAACTTAGTCTAGATACCGATCGGTTGTATGAGACGGTATTCTTGCATCCTATGGCGGGGCCTTTCTTTTGCATGCAGTCTCTTCCTTGTGAGTTAAGCAATGGGCATAGACCAACTTACACGGGGTCGCCAAAGGAATTTTCATCGGTGTTAATTAAGGTCTTATTTATTTTATCGATTTGAGTTTTCAGTTTTAGGTTTCTACAGTAAAAAACTCTCAGAAAATGTCACATCTAATTTTTTTCTACTACAATAAAAAAACTCTCAAAAAATGTCACATCTCAACTCGAATTGAAAACTTGAATCTGCGAAGTGAACAAGGTCTAAGTTTATGACGATTTAGTCCTACATTTAATTTTGTGGATAAAAACTTCTTGAATTAAATTTGGCAGTGGTGGTACAAATCGTTAATTTTTGTGTTAAAGTTCGGATGCTTTAAAACTATCAAGGATCATAATAAAAATATTAGTTTTTAGCTAATTCGGTGGTAAAATATTGGGTGCGTTTGGAATTTGTTTCAAAATGATTTTATTTTTTGTATGAAAATGAAAATGAAAATGAAAACATTTTCAATCTCAGATAGAAATCATTTTTAAAAATGCGTTTGGTAGTTTTATCAAGAGATTTTTTTAGTGTAAAAAAATCTATTAATACCTCTCTCTCTCTCAGTTGAGTGAGGAGAAAACGAAAATAAAAAATGAAAAATGATTAAAAGTCGTTTTTTATTTCTCTCATTTTACATTAAATTAAAAATTATTTTTATTTCTGTTTTTTATTTTTATTGCGTCAAACGCTGTTTTAAAAACGTTCTTTTTTTTTTAAAAAACGTGAAAAAAAAAACATAATCAATTTCAAACATGACCATTATTTTTACAATAACATCCTAGAGTCTTATTTTGGATGGTTTTTAGAAGGTTCCATTTTTCTTTCGTCCCTTATTTATTTATTTTTTTCAATTATTTTGCTCAACATATCACGTCCTTAAAAATGTCTTTCTATCCAAAGTCGACAATGCCCAAAAGTAGGAACTGAAACGCTTCCTCCTTTTTGGTAAAGCCACACAATCATCTTGGTCATCTGGGTTATCTCTCTAGATGATGAAGCTTTTCTCTCGTCATTCAATCTTGACTTGTGTTATTTGGAGACCATAAAATATAAATATATTCGATCTGCTTCTATCACATCGTTTCCCTTGCTTCATCTTCTAAATTCCTAGGCCTCCTTTGATTTGATCCGAGCTTTAGCAATGCTGTTTGGCTTTAGCATTGTAATGATGTGTAATTGTTTGAGTTAGCAATAAGTGTTAGATTTTTTATAAAGAAATAATTTTTACAATATTAATTTCTATCAATTAATCAAAATAAAAAGAGAGTACGTTTAGTTCGTGATTTGAATTTTTAATTTTTATTGAGATGTGACTTTATATGAGAATTTTTTACTGTAATAAAAAAGTTAAATATAATTATTTTTAAGAGCTTTTTATTGTAACAAAATTCAAATCGATAAAATGAATGGAGCTAGAGTATCTAGCAAAATCTGATTGGAATAATAATACTAGTCCAAATTTATATGAGACCGAAGAAGAATGGATTGAACAAAATTGATATTTAGCTCTAGTTATTCGGGCCTATTTATTGCATGAGGCAAAAGAGGAGACTGGACTAATAATTTTACGGGGTTTTGATGTCGGCGATCAGATGTACATGTAAATATTAGAATTTACCCAATTTACAGCCGATCATCGGCGCCAGTTTTGATTGACCTGAGCAGGCAGGAGAGAGAGAGGTGGGAAAGACCTGAGCAGTCATCATTATTTTAGACAGTCCACCAATGTTTGATTATTACATGAAAGACTTGTTGTTAAACCAATTGATTCTGAGGACATTATCTCTGTTTCTGTGGCAAAAGCTGGAGTGGATATTGCGATTGATGATTTTTATTGCAGTAAAAAATTTTAACAAATAATCTCATTTAATTTTTTTTCATTATAGTAAAAAAATTCTCATATAAAATCACATCTAAACTTGAATTAAAAATTTAAATTAATAAATTAAACGGATCCTTAAAGTTTCTCATTTATTTGAACTCTGTAAATTTCTTTTTTTTTCTATATATTATAACAGATCTAATGAACTGATTAAAAATAGATGGATTCCTTTTTGATACACCATAGGATTGGGTTTTGTTTGTTTTAATTGTTTTGCAGGGCACAAAACCATGCTGTGAAGAAATTGTTTTAATTGTTTTCAAGGCATCTGATGATAAGTAAGGCCGTTCATAAATTCATAAAACTCGCAGGCTCAACCCACATCACTTCAATCTAACCTGAAAAATATAATATTTAGTATTAAATTTTTTTTTTTGGCCCATTCAATGTCCGGCCTAAAGTTTTAGAACGGGGTGTAAGTTAGGCTTATAATAGCCCGTACACCCCAACCCAATCCGCGTTCTAACTTGCCTCCTATAATATCTAATCCTAAGTAGGTAACTCATTTTACTCTCTAGTTTCTTCATGTTTGAATTAAGCCACTATGTTTGCTTTATGTAAGACTAATTTATGAGTGTAGACTAATTTATGTTTGTTTTATGTTTGATGTTGGATGAACTACTTTATTTCATGTTTGATGTTAGATTGAACTTTGAATTTCTATCTGTTTGAATGTTGGAGTTATTATTTTTATTTGATAATAAACTTTGAATGTGTGATTGAATTTTAAGTTTTTAATTTTTTAAATGTTAAAACCGACCACTCAACTTACCCCACACCGTCCCAACCCAACCCAAACATCATTAGGTTGTGAAATTTTTTTAACATTGTTGGAGTTAAATATGTGCAACTCACACTCTTTAAAACGAGAGAAGAAAAAGCTCTATTCTGTACCAACCCAACCCATGAACCGCACTAATAATAAGTTGTATGAAACCTGTGTCTTCTACAAGTGCACTTCATATTTGGCTCTTGATTTGTACATTGGGCAATGATTCCTTCACGCTGCATTGTCAAGGCGGATTCCGAACCTCTTGATGCCGATGGATGAGAATGAGATGAAGCGTCGTAAAAATATGTGATGAGGAGAAGATTCCTGGCGTAGGAGCCAATCGGAACAACAAAATCCGAGAAGTAATTGGAAGAGAAACACGCTCTAATCCAAGAAAGTACCAAAACGCAACAAGAAAATAAAGAGCTCTGAGCTCAATTCCATTCATCAATGTCCCAAGCCTGCCTTAACAGCCTCAAAATGCATCCCTTATACCTGAGGAACACCAACCGGGGTCGACGCTCGACTCAAGGGTATCATGGGGAATACAACATTAAACGCACAGCATAAGGAAAATCAGCCAACAACATAAACGACAAGTAGCAAAAGGAAATGATAGTGCTCATGGGCTTATTACAACGACAATGGGCCACTTTAGTAGTGCCGTAGATTTTAAAAAAATTGATATTAGCCATGCTGAAAAAAAAAACAGTCGTTACAATGAGTATTTAATAAACTGTAATTATATAAATATTAATTTCATGAGTATTATAAAAGTTTTGTTAATTGTACTTCAAGGTGATTATCACACAATTTAAAAGTTAAAATTGCCTTTGAGTTGCTCCTGATTTTGAGTGTAAATTCTTCAAAAATTCTTAAAAAATCATTATTTTTGGTTTTTATCAAATACAAATTTCAGCTATGGATGACTAGATAATTGATTTTAAGCTCTAAAAATCACTACCAAACATACCCAATAAGACATAAAACTAGCTAATCCCCTGCATCAGGGCTCCCCCTCTTCGAAAAGATTCAACCCCGAATCTTCGAATGCGGCAGGTGCGGCATCGGGTGGGTGATACTCGAACAAATCTTGCACATTGAAAGTAGAGGAGATGGACAGATCCGGGGGAAGTTCCAACTTGTAGACGTTGTCATTTATAATCCGTTCATTTCACCGATTCGAGTTTAGAATTTAAGTTTTACTACAGTAAAAAGCTCTCAGAAACAGTTACATCTAACTTTTTTGCTATAATAAAAAGTTCTCACATAAAATCACATTTAAACTTGAATTAAAAATTTAAATTAACGAACTAAATGAGCCTTTAATCTTGACGAGAATGCGGAATGGTCCAAACTTAGGAGCTTGCAGCTTGGAAGGACCAGCATGAGGGAGGCGGTCCTTGGTGAGAGATGGACCATAACAACGTCACCCACAGCAAAGTTCTTGAAACGACGATGGTCATCCGCAGCAGCTTTGTAACGAGCATCGGCATAGAGTAAGCTTTTGTGTATGGGACTAATTAATTAAGTTTAGTTTGTCTTTGTTTACCTTACTATTCTGCCTTTTTGTTCGTTTTGGGTTGCATTAATCTGATTAGGTTTTTTTGCTCAGTGAACATTAATTAACTCGTGGAAACGCCAGTATTATTTCTATTGTTATCACTACTACTTTTATTATTAGTTTGTGATGCATTGATGCAAGAAAAAATTAGCTCAACTGTTTTTTGTTGGACGTTTTCTGCTATTTTTATGGATAGTATTTTTAAGAATAGAAAAAATATTATTCATTAATTTGAGTTCGAGTTTCTGAACTCGAATTGAAGGGGATGCCTGAACTTGAGTTTTAGTCACAAACTCGAGTTTAAACTTAAAAGAGCATGAACTTAAATAAAATTAGAACTCGAGTTGTCTTTTTATAAGTTTTTTAGGCAGCTGAACACACTCCAAATAGTGAAATGTTAACTTATGATGGAAGTTCAAGTGATTAAACACATGTAATTGTTATTTGTTAGGAATTAGGATTCAGCCAAATACTCATGTGCCTAAAAGAACTAGCCCTCTAGTTTGGATGCAGTAATAAACTCTCTTGATCATCTATTTTGCCTTTGCTGTAATACGTCTACATAGATAGTTGCCATTTTTTTTTTTTTTTTTTACCTGAGTGGTTGCCATTTAATACAGGGACATCATAATATTCCCTCCAGGAAAAAAAAGAAAAAAAAAAAAACAATATGTAGACGTATTGTGGGTACATAAAGGAAAAAACAATACAATTTATTTGTGGGGACTTTTTTAAATTTTTAAGAGGGGTGTAACAAGTAAAATTAAAGGTGATATAATAATTGTGAAAAGTAAAATATGAGTGTCAATAGACACACTCTTTGTTGTATTGTATAAAAGTACATATTAACTTATGGATTTTGAAATGGACATTTTGTGTAATCTTTTATATACTAGTTTTTTTTAGCGCGCTTGTAAATTCGTACGACAAAAATTGATTTCACATATAGTGTAGTTTTTGTTCACAATTTAGTGTTAATTATTTTAAATTTATTTCAAAGACAATGTTTTCTCATTTACATAAATTCAATGGGTGATATATTTATAAAAGAATGTCTTAAATCAATTATAAGTGCACTAATAAAATTTATAGCTCCTATCAAGCTTTTAACTAACAAATAAATATTAAAATAAAACTAAATATAAAAAGCAATTATAATTTTTAGATGTTGAAGTTAAAAGTACTTAAAATAGTGATAACGTTAACTTTTTTTCATTAGCTTAAAAATAATATTATATCTGTATTGTGAAATAAAATCTATTTTATAAAATATAAAATAAAATAGAAAATTAATTAATGTGTACATACAGAAATGAAAAAAATAAGGTAAATATATGAGAATAAATAGAAAACTAAATAGGGTGTACATATAAGAAGTAGAAAAATGTTTGATTAGGGGTATCTTTAAGAACCATTTAAGTGTAAAAAAGAACAATAAAATTAGTCCAGCACATCTAATCTAACATATCTTTGGGGTCGCATGTATTTTGCCCTTTAAACTTTAAAAATTTTAACTATAATACTACAAATTTTGAATTTCTCCCATGTTGCCTATTATGTTTCATTTTCTGTCAAAACCAAATAGAAAAATAGCACGCGCATTCACATTATAAGTTCTAAGAGGGTATGACTGTAATTGAATTTTGAGTTATTTGCATCCATGCCTCTTGAACTCTGGACTCACCTCCATTTTAACTCCCCAAATTTTGAGGTCACTTCTACTTTGTCCCCCAAACTCTTTCGCAATTCCCATTTTAATACTCTAATTTTGAAATTCTTTCACTTTACTCCCTCTGTTTGATTACGATTGGTGCTCGCCCACTCGCTCCATAACAATCCGATCATCTAATATGATTTTTTTGGTAATATAACTTCTCTTTCTTTTATTATTTTCTAATCATAGTTTGACGTCTTTTCTATTATTATTGTTTTTATTTTTTATTTGAATATTTTTGTTGATTTGATTCATAAGGAGAATATAGAAATTTTATAGATCTAGATCAAACCTATAGTTTGTAAACAAACTAGACAAAATTGTTGTAATTCTAATTACAATGTAAGTTGCAACCAAGAATGAAAATATAAATATCCATTAAAATAACTCTAGATTTTATAAAAAGATCGATAGTGTTGGAAGTTGACGTAAACTACACAAATCACCCTAAAACAATATTGTGCTTATATCTCTAAAAACTTTCCACAAAATATTTTATCATTTAACAATATACTTTTTAAAGTGGGAGAAATTCAAAGTTTAAAAAAAGTATTAGAGTTGTTCATGGGTTGAGTTGGTGCGAGGTAGAATTTTTTCTTCTCCTGCCTCAAAAGGTGTGGGTTGCACATATTTAGCCCTAACGATATTAGAAAAATTTCACAACCCAATGATGTTTGGGTTGGGTTGGGGTGGTGCGGGGTGGGTTGGGTGGTCAGTTTCAACATTCAAAAAATTAAAGACTTAAAGTTTAATCTAACATTCAAAGTTTATCATCTAATAGAAATAATAACTCCAACATTCAAATAGATAGAAATTCAAAGTTCAATCCAACATCAAACATGAAGCAAAGTAGTCCATCCAACATCAAACAAAAGTAAACATAAATTAGTCTACACTCATAAATTAGTCTTAAGATAAATTAAACATAGATGTTTAATTCAAACATGAATAAATTAGAGAGTAGAAATGAGTTGCCTGCCTAGGGTTAGATATTAGAAGAGGCAAGTTAGAGGGCAGATTGAGTTGGGATGTGCAGGTCATTATAGGCTCAACCCACACCCCGCCCCAAAACTTCGAATCAGACATTGAATGGGCCAAAAAAAAAAATTTAATACTAAAAATTTCATTTTTCGGGTTGGGATGGGGTGGGTTGGGCTTACGGGTTTTACAGGTTTATGAACAGCCTTAAAAAGTACGGTGAGAATTATGAAAAAGTTCAAAGGGATAAGGAAGATGCTATCTTAAAGTTTAAGAGGTAAAGTGAAAGCAAAGTTTAAGAGGTAAAGTGAAAGCGATTCTAAAATTTAAAAGGCACGAGTGCAAACAACCCAATAATCAATTACTATTTTACACATAGAATACACGACGTGAATGCACATGCTAGTTTTTTGTTTGGCTTTGACAGAAAATGAAACGGATGGGCAAAGTGGGAGAACATGCTCTTTTGTCCATAAAACTCAAAAAAAGACAACTCAAGTTTCAACTTTATTCAAGTTCACGTTCTTTTAAGTTTCAATTTTATTCAATTTTACTCAATTTTATTCAAGTTCTAACTTCAACTCAAGTTATAACTCAAATTCAACTAAAAAACTACACTCAAGTTACACTCCAAAAGAACAATCCCTCAAGGCTTGAGGTAGTGTAATGTGAACTTTTAAAGCTCATGGGGCAAAGAGGGACCGACCCCAAAGTTGAGGGGCAGAGTTGTAAATAATTCAAAGTAAATATTTTGTGTTACTTTTCCGAGAATGCCCTTACGCAGAACAGTCCATCATGATGGTTGGAGTTAATTTTGAAATAATTCACGTGCCGACCCTCCGGTCCGTTTATATTGCGAAAATCCCAAATTCCCAAATCCGTCTGTTAGGGTTCGCTCAGAGACAATAACGAACCCACCCGACGAGACGAGAATTTACAAACACCAAATTTCCAGCGTTCTCAGAAAGCCCTCCGACCAAAGAAACGTCTTTCATATCACGAAGTTTCTTCGGTACTCACTTTCTCTCTCTCCCCCCTTAATTTTATTGTTCTAGCTGAAAGGTGTAAAAATATTATGGTTGCTAATTTGTTCAATGTTTTCTCTTGATATTAATTTTTTTTTTTAAATATGTTGGGTCGTGGAATTTAGTTTATGGGAGAAAATGTTGCTTCTTATTGTTACCAAATCATGGAATTATTTTGCTTATGGTGTTAATTTTCCATTATATGAGATGGGTTTTTGACCATTACAAGTGGGCTTTCTGAATTTTCTCCATTATTTTTTTATGGTTGAGCTTTTGATGCGTGTATGTGTCTTTGTTTGTGTTAATTTTCCATTATATAACATGGGTTTTTACTATTACAAGTGGGCTTTCTGAATTTTTCCGTTATTGTTTTATGGTTGCGCGTGCGTGAACTTTTTAGATTGTAATTGTAGAAGAAGGCACGATTCATACTATGCGTTTCTGAAGCAGATTAAACAATGTTGTGGCCTGATTCTTCTTTATGTTAAAGCAGTCTTTTCTGTTTTCTGTTTTTTTGTTTTTTTTTATTTGCTTGAATCTACATATAACCTTTGATAGTTTGTGGATGTGTGTTTCATGTGAATGAAAACTTGTTAATTACTCAAAAGTAATAATTTTCTTTTATTTCTATTATCTACAAGTCATTTTCTCAATTCCTAAATGCTGATTATTTTTTCTTTTTTTACTTTGTAATGGGGATAATGCACCCGCTCGAATGAAGATAGTTAAAAGCTTATACTTGCCAATATTGTTTGCTGGACATCTGTCCTGTTCAAGAAATTTGTTTCTTGCTTTTTCAACCACCTTCATAATCTTTATAATAATTCAGAAATCACCTATCTCTATTCTGTTTTTTCTGCTTGTGATATCAATGGACCTTTATGGAACTCCTCCGAATTGTAACCCCCTTAAGTCTTATCTCGCTAGTATTCAATTGCAATTCGAATTCTGCAACACCTTTTGGCCTTTCGCTTTGTTTCCTCCTTTCGATTTTTGTATACTTCTTCCCTTGAATTCTTCTGGCCTCCTTCTTCACAGTTCCCTTGCAAGCTTATACTATTAGATACATAACATGGCAAGGGAAAAAGTAAATACATCATCAGATGCTAAGCCAGTTGAGTCCGATGACCCTGAAGAGTCAATGGATGAAGAGGTTGAGTACGAAGAAGTCGAGGAGGAAGAAGAAGTAGAAGAAATAGAAGAAGTGGAAGAAGAAGTAGAAGAGGAGGAAGAGGAGGAGGAGGAGGAGGAAGAGGAAGAGGAGGAGGTAGAAGAAGAAGAAGAGGATGGAGATGGAGCTGGTGCCGAGAAAAATCAAAGTAGTGCTGATGTAAAGGTTGAAGATGAGGATGAGAAGAAAAAACATGCTGAACTTCTTGCCTTTCCTCCACATGGTTCCGAAGTTTATGTTGGAGGCATTCCTCATGATGCTTCTGAAGAGGAATTAAAACATTTCTGTGAGTCTGTGGGAGAAGTTGTAGAGGTATGCTGCATTGCTATTTACATAGCAGTCTTAAATTCAACAACTGATATGAGTATTAATTCCTTTTAAGTTTTAATGACAACAGGTTCGTATTATGAAAGACAAAGACTCAAGTGAGAACAAGGGTTTTGCATTTGTGACATTTAAAAATGTCGAAATGGCTTCGAAAGCCATTGATGATTTGAACGGTACTGAATTCAAGGTAGGATAAACTTTTTGCTTATGTTCACAGTCTTAAAAATAGTAATAACTGATTATCAAAAGGCTCAGAAATTTTTAGATAATTTTTGCTGAACAAGAGTTTTTATTTATTTTTTAAATTTTTTTTTTTTTTATGCTTTTCTTTTTTTGAATTGTGTTCGCTTCGTGTGCTACTGGTGCTTTTATAGTAAAACTTCTCTGTCTCTCTCTCAGGGAAAAAAGATAAAATGTTCCACATCTCAAGCAAAGCACCGTTTGTTCATTGGTAATGTTCCTAGGAGTTGGGGAGAAGAAGATTTGATGAAGGTTGTGAAAGAGATAGGACCTGGAGTTACTGGCTTGGAACTGGTTAAGGTTAGTGCACTGTGATTATGTATTTCTATGGAAGCTTGGCTAAACTGTTGAAGTTATCTCTTATTTTATCCTAGGTATATATATATATATATATTTTTTTTTTTTTTTAAAAGAAGTCTTCGTGACAATGTATCATATAATTTTCAACATTTGTTTTTCACCTTTTTTTTTTTTCTTTACACCGTTCTCTCTTCTTTTGGTTATGAGTTGCTAGCTCGTTGTTTATCCAACTCTCTATCACAGGACATAAAGAATAGGTACAATAACCGGGGCTTTGCTTTTATTGACTACTATAATCATGCATGTGCTGATTATTCAAGGCAAAAAATGATGAACCCCAAATTCAGGCTAGGTGATAATGCCCCAACTGTGAGCTGGGCTGAACCTAAAAATGCTGAATCTTCTGCAGCTTCTCAGGTGCTTACTGAGTTTTATGTTTGGATAATATTCATTATGATTCGTGATGCTAAAATTAACTGATGTTGACAAATCCTACTTCTTTAAGCCGTTTCAAATGATAGCAGGTGAGAATAAATTATAGAAGGTGTTGCTTGGTGAATAAGAGATAAAATTAAGTATTCATTCTGCGGCCGCATCTTCTTAACACTACTGACGATGAAATTAACTTGAAAGTTGACACTTGTGATTGGATTATGAACTACCACATTATGTAAATTATGAACCGCAAACCATGAAATATTTCTGGTTCCTTGCTGCCTCATTAGACCTGTCATTCTGTGTGAGCAATATATTATCTTGACATTATATTTTGAGTCAATGGGTTGCTTATGATTTTGTGTGAACCTGGTGGGTATTTTTTCTTTTCATGTAGCCTATTCTTTTTGGTGCTTGCTCCCCAGTCATTGCGTTTGATAAAATGTTGTGTTTCACACAGGTGAAGGCTGTATATGTGAAGAATCTACCCAAAAATGTAACCCAAGGCCAGTTAAAGAAGCTATTTGAACACCATGGAAAAATCATTAAAGTGGCTCTTCCACCTGCAAAATCTGGACAGGAAAAGAATAGAATTGGTTTTGTGCATTTTTCTGAGAGATCAAGTGCTATGAAAGCATTAAAGAACACGGAAAGATATGAGCTTGATGGTGACTATTTCTTTGGGTCTTCATTATACAATGTCTTTCTCTCTCTCAAACTTTTCAGTGATTTGTAACTTTCTGGTGTTCAGGTCAAGTTCTGGAGTGTTCTCTTGCAAAGCCGCAGGCAGATCAAAAGTCATCTGGATCAAATACTCAGAAGTCAGGGTTGCTTCCTGCTTACCCACCTCGTGTTGGTTATGGTTTAATGGGGGGTCCCTATGGTGCTCTTGGTGCAGGCTTTGGCCATGCTGGTTTTGCGCAGGTCAGATATGTAGGAAGGTGTTAATGTAAAAATTTGATGCAGTTATAGATAATATCGAGTGAAGCTATTTTCTTATGAACTGTCTTCACGCTTGCACAAAAGTTAATAATAAGACCTTGTCACAATAGCACTTTTGTTTTCTGTTTTTTGGAAGAGGAATGATTTTTTTTTTATCAAAAGAAAGAATGGTAAACTTGTTTTGTTTTTACTTTCAAGAATCATCACTGAAAGTGTCGCCCTCTTGAATATAAATGTAACTAAACATCTTTTCTTGTACACTATTTTAGTTGTTTATATTATGTTCTTGTTTTTTACCTAGCGATAAGTGCACAAGTGTCTTTAACATATTTTTTCATTAAAACTTTTTGGTTGTTAGCTGGATACGTGATGCTCGCCAAAGCCTTATTTGCTTGAATATAGATAACCTTGTGTTCTCTACAATTGTTCTGATGATTTTGCACTGTCGCAGCCTGTGATCTATGGACGGGGACCAACTCCTTCGGGCATGTCAATGATGCCAATGCTTCTGCCTGATGGACGAATAGGATATGTTTTGTAAGCAGAAAATTCTTATCCCGTTAACCTATTACATTTAGATTTTCTTTTGCAGAAATAAGTAATAAAACGAAGATTATTTTCTTTCTGCTGGCGTCCTTTTCAAAATAAGGCTGGTGAAATCATTTGCCGTGTTTGGAATTGTTCTTGTTTTTGTTTCACTTTTTTCTAGAAAGAAAAAATGAAAACAATTCCAAAACAGCGTTTGGCAATTAAAGACAAAAAACAGAAATGAAAATGATTTTTTGGTTTAGTGTAAAACGGGAGAGAAATGAAAAATGACTTTTAGTCGTTTTTTATTTTTTGTTTTCGTTTTCTCCTCTCGAGCAGAGAGAGAGAGAGAGAGAGAGAGAGACATTAGTGGGTTTTTTTTATACTGAAAATAATCTTTTGATAAAACTACCAAATGCATTTTTAAAAATGATTTCTGTCTGAGATTGAAAACGTTTTCATTTCTATTTTCATACAAAAAACAAAATTCTTTTAGAACGAGTTTCAAACGCGTCCATTAGTTTTCATTTTTTTCCCCCCAAAGAAGTTTGTGTGAATCATAAACATCACTACATCATTTCTCACAGAATGTATAGGAGAGAAGTGAAAATGTATTAACTCTTCTTAGAACGAAGTAGCAGCAGCTGTGTTTCTTGGTTTATTAGAGGTTGGTTTCTGTTAGTATTTTGAGATTTAATGCCGAGCAGTTGACTATGCACTTGCGGAGCCTTTTAAGAATGAACCAAGAGTTACTTTTCATTGCAGTAATCTTTCATTGTCTCTCTGAATGATGCCTCGGCTCATTTGGGAAAAAAGAAACAATTTGTCTTAAAAGCATCAAATTGCTTCAGAATATTCTTGAACATCTATTAACTTTCTTTTCCTCAATCTGTTTGTGATTCAACTAAACAGAATTTTGTTGCTGAATTTCAATACCACGATCTTACAAAGTCTTGTCGAAATTTTTTGTAATTTGTTTTTCGTTGTGTCTTTCTTTTACTTTGCCATTTGGCTTGCTAGCAGATGATAAATGCTTGCAGCCATAATAAAATTGTCTATTTAACATGGCGCTAGAGCTGCTGTTTTGTGATTTGGGCAGATTTACTTGCAAGAAATCATTTCAATGCTGCTGTAACAAAATATTTGAAACTCAAGTTTCCATCTGGATTATAACTTTACGAGTATTAGTCGCGTGATGCGACTTTTTGTGATTATGATCCAGGGACTGAAAGAAAGTCTTGTTTCTCTCATTGTAGGCAACAACCGGGAGGACAGCCTCAGCCCTCTCCTCCCTCACATCAGAGGAGTAGTGGCAGGGGTGGCGGTGGAAGTGGCAGTAAAAGTGGCGGCAGTTCAAAAGGAAGGCAGAACAATGACAGCGGTGGGAGTGGGCGCCGGTATCGCCCGTATTAGTTATTAATCAGTTCTTGTTTAAATGATTATGAGTTGATAAGGGTCAGTTAAATCTCAAGGTGGTGCAATTCAATGTAACTATACCACGGTCATCTCATTAAATATCATTTTAGTCAAAAACAAGTGTGGAACTGAAATATTCTTTTTTTTTTTTTCCTGTCGTTATAATTTATTTTTATCAGTCTATTTTTTTTGCATTTCGTGACCATGTTTAAAGCTGTCCTCTGCTGAGGCTATTGTTTTATTTTGTGTTTTCTATTCTGCTAAAAAGTTGTTCCCCTCTGAAAGAGCAATTTGGCCATCCTTGCTCCTTTTTTATCAGAACAAATGTAGTACGACAAGAAATACTATTACATGACTGTGGATTGACTAAAAGCTTTTGACAATGGTCACTACGAGCGATAAATAACATCAACCACAGAGGCATAACAAGAAGTGGATTATATATTTTTAAAAGGAAAAGAAAGTTACAAGGACAGAGAGTGGCACGATATAACTTTGGATAGACTCATTTACGGATCCCTTACAAAACGATTGTCCGTAAATTGTTGGAAAATTCATTCATAAGGATAGGAATTTTGATAAGTTTTTATTAGTACATCTTCATTATGATATTAGAAACGATAGAATTCCAAAATCCAGATTAAGAAGCAGTAATCAGGTTAGTGTTTTTCGGGTTAGAGTGTTGAGTCAGCCATTAAGACAGTCGGTGCTTGGGGCATTACTCGAGAGGAGCCTCTTCAAATGTGATTGTGGAAACTGGACACATGAACTTAAAATATTACTTGTGCCAGAAGCATTCTCCATGCAGTTAGTTGAGACGTTGAAATGGCTAGCGTCAACGAGACCAGGTTGCAATAAAGCCTAAATATTATTGATTTTGGTTTTAGATCAAAACAATTTTCTATTAAATTCTAATGTACTTGTGAAACCTAACAAGCTTCATCTGCATTTCTCTGCTGTTCTTCACGTTGCAAAAAATGGTTAGTTTAAGGGTGCAAAAATGCGGCTTTTTAAGGAGACAACTAAGGATGATCAGACACCAGATTTGATAGACCATTATAGTGCATAAAACGAGGCATTTTCTCAGAATTAGTTTCCTCTTCATTACTCTCAGATTAGCAACAAAACAGACTGCAAGCGCAGAAAAAGAGAAACATGGCGCTACATTTGCTTGCAGAATTACCTTTTTCTGCACCTTCTAATATGTAAATACAAAGAGTTCATTCATCACCAGTTCCATCGTCATTTTCATTGTCTTTGTCTTCGTCATTTTCATTGTCCTTGTCTTCGTCATTTTCATTGTCTTTGTCTTCGTCATTTTCGTCTTGCTTGCTTTCACTACCATCTTTTTTATCAGATGGCTCGTCTTCTAATTTCCTCTTCTTTTTCACATCCTCGGACTGTGACGCTCCTTTCTTCTTTCCAGCGTTTCTCTTTTTGAACTCTGAAGAGAAGCCAAGAAAAAGCAAGGATGGTAAGACTCAAGAATCCCTTCCGCATTGTGGTACACTAGCAAAAATGAATATAAAAGAAAGCATTTTGAGCCATCTACACAGCTTTGTCTATTTGGCGTCATAATTTATGTACAAAAGTAAATTTTAGCATTCGGATAAAAAAAGTAAATGTAAATTTTAGCATTGAGCATCTGTGTTCAGCTGGCACTTCGTTGTCTGCTACCAGCAAGACACTGCTAAAAGGAAATAAATTTCGAACAGAAGCATTCCAATTTCATAAAAGCACATATACTGGAAAAGTACGGCAATTTGTACTTGTTAGGAAAATAAATAAGCCTTTCAAATATTTATACATATGAGATCATAATCATGGTCTGATGTAAAACTTGGAAATTTCTGCAATGGTATTCGTCAACCTAATTGTATAAGCGATTCTCCTTTCTTCAAAAGAAATAGTTGGCAATAACGAATAAACAACATTTTAACTCCCTTTGCTGTACCGAATGAAACAAGAATGAAAACAGAAATCAGAAATTGCTAAAAGATTTAAAGAGCAACAAATGGGAATTGCAGATATCCTAGAATAAAGCCCCTTTTCTTTTTTTTTTTCCGAGTCTCTCTTTTCCCCTCACTTATATAAACAACTACAGATAAACAGACTGAGCAATAGATAGAGGCACAGATGAATAGACCAACAGGGAGAGAGATAGAGATGAACTATCCATGATGTCTTTTCATTACCTTCTAAAAATGATCTGTATTTTTTCTACATCCCATATATGTAAACCAGTTCTTTGCATTTATATCTAGATTACATCACCATATGTTCTTTTAATGCCATAATAGGACTCCCAACCCAACTAATCTGGCAACATTCTTCCATATGAATTTATGAAATTAATCCTCTATAAAACAAGAAAAGTTTTAAACAAATAGTCATTAAGATGCATAGAGTAATGCAGCAAAATAACAAATCTCAACTTTTTTGCTGTTTGAACTTCTACAAAAAGCAAAGAGGGCAATGGAGATGGGTAAAATATCCAAGGAAAGATGTCTGCATGCATACTTAACTCAGTTAGATCGGCCATAATCCAAATTCTCAATACATGGGATTGACTACATGAATCCTTACCTGAAATCAATAAGGCTCAGATAAATTAATTCTATCTTGTCTTAATCCAAGCTGGGGTGATAATTTTCTCTACATACTGCATATATGTTTCATTACAATTACTTGTCGTGAAACTATTCTTGGGCTCCCTTCCCTCTGATTGTTCAGCTTGAATTCTCTCACTCTTTTGGAAAGACAAATTTGTCGCATCATTCACAAAATCGCAAATCCAAACAATCTCATTCCTTTACTTTCCACTATCCTATCCTGTATTGGGACTATCCATCTTAGAAAAAAAGAAGAGAGAGAGAAGTCCCATTTTTAACGCTAGTTTTGTCATCACTCATCCACCTTGTAACCTACATATTCTCATATCTCCTAAAGCTCATTTTACAGAAATACTGTATGTTGTCCAACATTCTACACACATTATGTTATGTATGCTACATATGTGTGTGTATATATATACACACAAGACAAATATTCACTTCTTAAAGATCCGCTCAGTCCACACACACACAGACAAAAAAAAAAAAAAAAACTATATAGTGAATCATATGGGCGTGACTCACAAAAAGGGTTTAACCATATTCAAGTTACCAGTTGCAATCCCAGCACTTCGAGGAAACACTTTTCAATTCATGATACTTAATATAAAATCTCAATTTCGAGACATTATATAAGCAAATGAAGCTTTTCTTCTATGAAATGCCAAAAAAAAAAAGGTGGTAAAAGAGGGTTACAATGAAAGGTTATTACTTCGTTATAATCTAACTCACTGGTCAGTGGAATCATTTCAGAATCATTGCATATTACGATTTTACTGCATATTCACTAAACTTAATTGACAAAAAAAAAAAAAAGAATTTATAAAGAACAAGATCTAGAAAAATCCCAAAAACTAACCATCGAGAGAGGCCTGGAGAGGCTTCAGAAACTCGGAGAACTCTATCTCTTCCAAGGCTTTGAAGACGTCGTCTCCATTGATCGTCTGTCGTTTTGACTCCTTGCAAATGTCGTTTGCCCTACCACACATCCATTCCCAATTATTCATATTTTTCTTTTTCCCAATAGATTCACTTACAAACAAGGAATACCAGAAAATTTCAACAACACAAATTATTCGTAAAATAGATGCAAAACAGGATTTGAGAGAGAGAGTACGTGGCGGAAAGGTAGTGGATGAAAATGCGAGCGGATTCTGAGAAAGTGAGGAGGGTATCTTTGTGGACATTGATGTCGGCGTCGGCGGAGCAGCGGGAGAGCTTGTCCTTCACCACCCGCCGCACAATCGCCTTCGGCAGCTCCTCCGCCTCCGATACTGCTTTTTCCATCTCTCTCTCTCTCTCTCTCTCTAAATATATATATATATATATATCGCTCTGCTAATGTTGACCGAAGGCTCAATTCTCATTCCGTGGATGTGGTTTTATTTCCCAGCATTTGTTGTTGGTTCTTATCACGGTGGGCCAATCGAGTCTCAGCCCCAGGCCCAATTTGGTCAAGGAAAAAAATCCAAAAATTACCCCCCTACCAGAAAATTTTCAAAGTTTAATCATTATTTTTTCCACCAAAATTTCTTTAATTTACGCATTTAAATTAATAATTCTATTAAGAATTTTTGAATTTAAATTCTTTATAAGATAAAAAATATTGTAATAAAATTAGATCACAAATTCAAGTATATGTATCAAACAGTAAGAACACAAATATTATTATTTTAACCCTACTACATATATGGATGGTAATTCATATCACGTATCGTATTTTGATCGTTTTTTTTAAATTTACAATCAACCCATGTCACAAAATTTTTTAAAAACCACAACACGACACGACCATTTTATGGGTTGACATGACATGATACGAAAATGACTCGTGACATGAAATTAACCTGTGAACCTGAAATTGACACGAAAATTATATAATTCTCTTTAATTTTTTTACATATTAGAAATAACTTAAAATTCATAATACACTAAAATACAATAACATCTATCAAAATTAATCAAATAATAATATAAGATTTTGAGTAGAACTATTATGATATCATAAGTTCATAATAAAATCTAAAATATATAATGAAATTTTTTTTTATTTTTTATTTTTTATAAATTTTATGTCATGTTCAAATTATGTGGGTTTAATCCAAAATTAATATGTACTTTTCACATTAATTTTATATCATTCTAATTCTGATTCAAATTTTTTTTTTTTAACTTTAATTTATAAAATTCGTATCATTTTTAAATTACATTATCGTAATGTAACGCATATTACCTATACATCCGTCCCTGAGTATTTCTATCAAAATTTCTTTTTTCGGCAAAATTGACCAAAAATCCAAAAGAGAAATAATAATAATAATAATAATAATAATAATAAAAGGCAGCAAGCGAGAACATTCACGAGAGTTGGATTAGCCATTACTCAACGAAATCAAAGCGATGGCGTTGACCGCCTATTCAACACCGCCTCCTCGTTTTGAATAAAAAGCACAACCTGATCCCTCTAAAGCCAATTAACCATCCTCGAGTCTGTTCTATCTTGTTAAATCCCGAACTTGCCGAAACTCACATATATCCAATCAAAAATAAGACACCGTTTCATCAAAAGCAATCCCGAACTTCCGAAAACTCATAAATACCCAAATCAAATAAGACACCTTTTCCTTAAAACGCTGCACTATTTCCCTCTTGAAAAACAAATCTTTCGATAATTTCTAAGATTTCACCTTCTTTTAATTACATATATATACCCAGAACCTTAATTTTGTTTCTATCATAAAAGCTTAATCCCTCTTCAATGGCTTCTTTTGAGAGATACGGCTCTCAATCCTACGCCCCCTCAGCTCCAACTCTCCCCGAAGATCACAACTACACCTCTACTACTACTACTACTACGCCTCCTCCAAACAGCCATGGCCATGATCACACCCAATTTCACAGCCATGGCTCTTCTCCTTCTTCTTATGCATATGGGCAATCAAGTTCTTCTTCACATGGTTATGGGCAATCAAGTTCTTCTCCATATGGATATGGGCAAATGGGTTCTACGTCTTCGTTTTCTTCTTCGTATGGATATGGGTACGTGGGTTTTCCTGCTGGGACGAGTCCTGATGTGATAAGGAGTTTTGAGATGGTCGACAGAGATCGAAGTGGGTTTATTGATGATAACGAGTTACAGCAAGCGCTTTCTTCTGGGTACCAGAAATTTAGCCTTAGAACTATTCGTTTGCTCATCTCTCTCTTCAAGAATCCCAATGATCCAGCTCCCAGAATTGGTATGTTGATTGTTACTCTCTCTCTCTCTCTCTCTCTCTCTTCTTTTTGTCTCTTTTCAATATGTTTCTGTGGATTAATTGATTGCATATTAGAGCATAACATAAGTTTGGTTAAATTATCGTACTTTTTGTGATTGGTCCGACGTTTGAAAGCTGTGTCTAAGCGGTAAATTCTCTTATATTCTATCACAATTGGATTTCTGGGTTCTTTTGGTTTCTTTTTTGGAGTTTAATTTGAGTATAATTTTTGAGTTGAATTTGAGTTATAATTTGAGTTAAATTTATAATTTAAATTTGTGTTTAGTTGTGTGCATTTAAGTTATAATTTAATATAAAAATCTTTTTGAGTTTGTGTTTGAGTGAGTCAAAATTTAAATTTATATTTAGATAATATTTTAATAAAAATTCAATGCTGATGAAAAATTTTAATATGATATATAGGTCGGGTTTTATTCGTCTTTTCGTTGTCAACGCATAAAAAAAATCATCTCAATCAGAATTAAAATAAAAAAGTTATAATATTTTTAAGAATATAAAAAATACTGTTCATTAATTTGAGTTTGAGTTTCTGAACTCGAGTTAAAAATTTAAACTTGAATTTTAGTCATAAATTTGAATTTAAACTTAAATTTAAACTTAAAAGAATATGAACTCAAATAAAATTGTAACTCGAGTTATTTTTTAAGCGTTTCAATTCTATTAAAGTTCACTGTTTTTGCTTTAATTGAGTTTCCTTCGTGATCAAGCGTTGAATTATTTTTATTTTTTGTTTTTTTCGGTTGAACGTCAGAGTCCCACCCTTTCAAGTAACAACGTGGCATCCAACTTTCCGCGTTTGTTTTATGTTTTCGTGTTGGATTATGTTGTTTAAAAAGAGAGAGAAAGAAAAGTATGGTGTTCTTTTTAACAAGTTGGTATTGTATTTGATTATGACCTGTTCTCGACAAGACCCGTCCATCTTTATTCTTCTTTTCATTGCATAATATGTGTAAAGCATCTGATGGTCATGATTGTAAATAATAATGAGGTGGGGGTTTTGTTTGCTGTTAATAGGGCCCAAAGAGTTTGCTGGATTATGGAATTGCCTCGGTCAATGGCGCGTAAGTAATTTGAACTTCTTTACTCTCTCTCTCTCTCTGTATACATTACGGAGCACTTAATCAGTTAATCTTTAGGCTAGAACTACGACACGGCCGGTCTTTTTTCTGTCGTGTCGTGCATATGATTTATCATGATTTGGATGAGCTATTTATATCACGTGGGACGTAATCGTAAAAAATTTTCAACGATTTAGATTCTTACAAACTATCATTTGATGCATGAAAAAGCGTTATATGTATGTAAGCCGATTCTAATCTTTATCAAGGCCTTTGTACTTTGTTGAACACAAATATGTAAATAGGTGAAGCAACTTTTCTTGTAAACTGCTTGAGACTTTTGTTTTAAAGTGCCTTTATACACGAAGACTACACAAAAAGAGAAAAAGTGCAAAACTTAACTATGAGGTCCCGTTCATTTCACCGATCCGAATTTTATTATAGTAAAAAACACTCAAAAACAATTACATCTAACTTTTTTGTTACAGTAAAAAACTCTCACATAAAGTCTCATCTCAATTTCAATTAAAAACTCGAATCAACAAACTAAACGAGCCTTCAGAAGATTCAAAAGACAACACAGATGCTAGTTACTTGCTATTAAGCTAATCCAAGCACTAGGGACATGCTCTCTCTCAAAGTCGTAATATGGATAGCAATATTACAACTCATTTGCTTTTAAAATACTAGCCCAAGAACTGAATAAGAAACATGTCAGTATACTCTTTCCGGTTGTCTATATCGCATGTTAAATTGGAAAGAAATAATAGGTCATATATATATACAGAGAGAGAATGCTAGATATGGGCACGTACATACATCCAAGTTAAAAAGTGTTGATCCGTGTTGTTTAGCAAGCACGTTGTGAATGGTTCTAAAGGGCATTTTCCACCAACTTTTCTCTTCTTCTTTTCATTTGTCGATCGGTGGGTTTTGTGATTTGCAGTACCGAAAATCATTTAGAATACTAGATTTGTCGTGGGCGCAATATTCATAGCTCTCTTGCTCTTGAAACAGGCAATATAACTTATGCTAACCGTGATTAACTCGGCGTGTATTTCAGTTTATTGTAGCCCCACCTTGGTCTATATCCCATTTTCTGTTACAAGAATATCCTTGTACTTAAACAAGTAGTTATTCTTGTGTACACCAGAAATTTGCTATGTTGTTTAAGTAGGCAGAATGCTTAAAGTTGTGGAGCATGTTGCTCGAGTCTCGAGCACCCACTTTCTGACTAAAGCACAACATTTTGTTGTTATAAAGTGCACCCCCTATTGTATGAACAACTTGTGATTTGGAGTTTTTATTTTGCAACTGGCAGGGCATATTTCAGAGATATGATAAAGACAGGAGTGGACGAATCGATGTAATGGAATTCAGAGATGCTCTTTACGGTTTAGGCTATATGGTTCCTGGCTCTGTTCTTCAACTTCTGATTTCCAAGTATGATAATGGAAGTGGTCGGAAAGTCGAGCTTGATTTTGACAGTTTTGTCGAGTAAGTTTTATAGGCGCACTCTTTTATCTCTTAAATGTTTAAGAACAAGTTGTGATTATGTTTCTTATATTGTCTTTTATTGGATTTGCAGATGTGGGATGATTGTCAAGGTAAGATTTATATTTACTTTAAAATTTTGTTTATTAATTTTGTGTTGAACTTCTTTGCACGTTGGATCAGTTTGATAAATCATTGCCCAACAATTAATAGTTAAAGTAGTTGGAGATAACATTTTACCAGACACTAGTTGTCCAGTTCATATGTGCCAATTTTGTAACTGTTTATAAAAACTATATGGTTAGAGCTTACTTCTACACCTTCTTACATGTAATATATGCATTTGGTACCTTGTAACTTTATGCCATTTTAATTGCAGGGTTTGACTGAAAAATTTAAAGAGAAGGATCCGCGTTATTCCGGATCAGCAACTTTCACATATGACGCATTCATGTCTATGGTCATCCCATTTCTCGTGTCATACTGATTTCGTGTGAGATCTTTTTTTTCCCTGTATGGTAAGCATTTATTTTAGAACTCACATGAAAAACTGTGAATCAGTTAGAAACTTGTATATTTCACAAGGGGCTGAGAGAATTTGCTTTTGGTACATTTGTTGGGTTGCTTTGTTCTTCTTATTCATTATTTGTTTGCTTGAAATTTCTTTGTTCATCAGAATTTGAGAATTTGCTTTTGTTTGCTTGGTGAAGCAACTTTTTTTTCTTTTTTCTTTTTTCAATTTCTCAAAGTAGTGTGTATATCTTTCCATGTTCATCTTTTCCTTAGACAGAAAACACATATTTAAATTCAAATAATGAATTGAGGAAATTTCAACTTACCTCTCCTCTGACCCGAAATGAAATGTGAATTCTGAATAACCCGTCCTCCGCTCTTTAAACAAAGGGACGTTTCTTGTTCTTTTGGTGCTTGAAACAATTGTCTTCTCCATGTTACTACATCAATAATTTTATACGAGGAATTTTGGGACTCAATCATTTATCGCCGTTACTCTTTAGTATTCTATTGAGGTCTATCATGTAGAGGTACTCAAATGAATTGGAATTTATTAGGTACGTAGATATCTTTTATTGATAAATCGGCAATCACATTCTAATGCAAAGCGAAATAGTTAAAAAGAGGTTAAAATTCTATACTATTGGTGCAACCAATGCCTAAACAACTAGACATAATTTGTCCAAAAGAGAAGCTGGGTATTTCATGTTAGAAACTAGTCATAGGAATTACCATGGTTCTAAACAGAAACAAGACGACTGAATGTTTCAACATAGTCTTACGTTCGACAACCCATGGCAATGGAAAGTCGGAATATTCATAAAAGTTCGAAAACACAATAAATCCATATAGAAGAATGTATCAAGGGCCTGTTTAGTTCGCTGATTCGAGTTTGTAATTTAAGTTGAGATGTGATTTTATGTGAGTTTTTCACTGTAATAAAAAAATTAGATGTGACTGTTTGTAAGAATTTTTTACTGTAACAAAACTCGAATCGGTGAAGTGAATGAGGCCATCTGACAAATACTTACTCTATTGAGGATCGGGCTCTCTGGTAATTAATAAAATGGCTTCTAGTGCCTACGTTCTTTATTGAACTCAGAGATAAAGACAGAAAACACAAATTCAAATTCAAATGATGAATTGAGGAAACCTTAGAATTACCGATGCTTAACATTTCAACTCGCCTCTGCCCTCTGAACCGAAATGAAATGTGAATTCTGAATAACCCGTCCTCCTCTCTTTAAACAAAGGGACGTTTCTTGTTCTTTTGGTGCTTGAAACAATTGTCTTCTCCATGTTACTACATCAATAATTTTATACGAGGAATTTTGGGACTCAATCATTTATCGCCGTTACTCTTTAGTATTCTATTGAGGTCTATCATGTAGAGGTACTCAAATGAATTGGAATTTATTAGGTACGTAGATATCTTTTATTGATAAATCGGCACTCACATTCTAATGCAAAGCGAAATAGTTAAAAATTGGTTAAAATTCTATACTATTGGTGCAACCAATGCCTAAACAACTAGACATAATTTGTCCAAAAGAGAAGCTGGGTATTTCATGTTAGAAACTAGTCATAGGAATTACCATGGTTCTAAACAGAAACAAGACGACTGAACGTTTCAACATAGTCTTACGTTCGACAACCCATGGCAATGGAAAGTCGGAATATTCATAAAAGTTCGAAAACACAATAAATCCATATAGAAGAATGTATCAAGGGCCTGTTTAGTTCGCTGATTCGAGTTTGTAATTTAAGTTGAGATGTGATTTTATGTGAGTTTTTTACTGTAGTAAAAAAATTAGATGTGACTGTTTGTAAGAATTTTTTACTGTAGCAAAACTCGAATCGGTGAAGTGAATGGGGCCATCTGGCAAATACTTACTCTATTGAGGATCGGGCTCTCTGGTAATTAATAAAATGGCTTCTAGTGCCTACGTTCTTTATTGAACTCAGAGATAAAAATGGCTTCTAAGATTAGAGAGATTTCAATTACAGTTGAGACTTGTGCTTTGTTTATTTATTTATTTATTTATTTTTTTGTTAATAAATGCACCTTGAATACCCACCAAAAATTCGTAAGTCCATGACCCTTGTAGTCTAATAGATAATGGATGACAATTAAGGTCCCAAATGTTAAATTAAACAGTCGTTTGTCCAATTTGTCAGTTAAAAAAGCTTAAGGTACGTTTGTTTAATTCATTAATTAACGTCCATTATTGATTGGACTGTAATTGCTAAGGTTTTTCAATGAATAATTTCGTGGAGCCAATAGAAATTTAAATTTTTCACACTAAGGGTCTATTTGGTGCGCATGATTAAAGAGGATTGGTTAAGATTAAATTTTAATATTGTGTTTAGTACGCTTTTTTAAGGGACTGGATTGGATAAACTTTTGGCCAGTCAATTATCAAATCCCCTTAGAAGGGAGTGTTGCTATTTCCTACTGAATGGGATAACTTTTGACTAAAACGCATTATGAAAAACACTAGGGACCTATTTATAAATTTTTATAAAATTTAAGGTCTAATAGTAATTTTTTAAAAAATTAGAGATCAAATTATAATTTTATATAAGTAAAATATTTTTAAAAAAAATTATATTTTTGCCCCGCAAGTTTGAAAAATTTTCAATTTGACCTCAAATTTTAAAAAGTTTTACAAAAGTGCTCTTATCCTAATAACACAACAAACATGGGATTGGATTAAACTAAAATTTAATCCTATACTTTTCTATACATTCCAATCCATTTCTTAAAATTATACTATCCTATTCTGCACACTAAATGTGGCCTAACAATCTCATTTGGACTTTTATACCAATAATCCCTAAACTTTGACAAAAACGTCGTTCAATTATTTTTCTTTTGGAAAGTTTTGTGGCTAGAAATTTTTTTGACTCATAATTTTACAAAATGCCAAAAATTTTAATTTAAAGGGCTTTTTTTTTTATATAATCAAAAGAAACGCTTAAAAATTTAATCGTCAAAACACTAAAAAAAATCAGTTTTTAATCCATCCATACCGATTGGGTGCTAGGATATTAGGCAGTTTTAGTGCTAAAACCTGATTGCCTTGAAAGTTTTAGGAATCAAAACTGCAAAAACATAGGGAACGTTTGGTTGGAGGATTCAAACCATGATTTGAATCATGGTTCATGGTTCACTATAGTGTTTTCTCTCACAAAAAATACACGTAAATCAAAAATAATTCTAATCACATGATTTTAATCCATAAACCAAACGTCTCCTTAATTCAAAGTCTTTTTCTAAAAGAAATATTTAAAAGCTTAACCGTCTAACACTAATAACTCAGGGCTTGTTCTTTTGAGTGAAAAACTCAAAAAAATGCAACTCGAGTTACAACTTTATTCGAGTTTATGTTCTTTTAAGTTTAAACTCGAGTTCAAACTTGAGTTTAGGACTAAAACTCAAGTTCAAGTTTTTCCTTCAACTCGAGTTCAGAAACTCGAACTCAAATTAATAAATAGTATTTTTTCTATTCTTAAAAATGCTATAACTTTTTCGTTTTAATTCTGATTGAGATAATTTTTTTTCTATGCGTTGACAACAAAAAGACGAATAAAACCCGACCCATATACCCTATTAAAATTTTTCATCAGCATTGAGTTTTTATTAAAATACTATCTAAATACAAATTCAAGTTTTGACTCACTCAAACACAAACTCAAAAAGATTTTTATCTCAAATCATAACTCAAATGTATACAACCAAACACAAACTCAAGTTACAAATTTAACTCAAGTTATAACTCAAATTCAACTCAAAAATTATACTCAATTTAAATTTTAAAAGAACAAGCCATCAGTTTTTACTCCATCTACACCACTTTTAGGTAGTAGCATATTAGGTTGGCTTTGATATATTACGTTTACAAATCACATCCCAAACCACCAATGTTGAAAACGAGAGCCAAATTTGGTACTTTGTCAAAGAGCATTATAAAATACGAAAGAGAAATTAAATCTAATTATTAATAGGGGCTATATATTAAGAACTTATGGGATTACTTCAATGACTAAACTGGGAAAAAAATTTCAATAACGAAAGTATAAAATACGAAAAGTTCAGGAGGCTGTTAAAAAGCTAAAATTATTTTGTCCATAATATAACTTCCATAAATAAAAACCAATTTTAGAAGCTAAACAAGAAACTGCCAAACAATGTGAAGTTTAAGGGGCATAAACGTAGTTCTCATATTGATGATCACGTTGAATTTCTGATCATCTTGATTTATTTATTATTATTATTTTTTTGGCTAAGATGCTGATAATCTTCAATTGATTCGGAAGTTTTAAAGGATACTATTCCACCGACTCTAAGAAGAAGATAAAATAGGGTAGGTTTACACTCATTAAATCAAAGAAAAATTGGAAACAAATTGATTAGGAATTCACCAAGGAAAGAAAAAGACCAAATAATAATAATAATAATAAATAAAACAATTCTTCACAATAAAATCCTGCTGGCTGCTATTCTATTAAGAATCAAAATCCAAATACAATATCACAAGTGAAAGTCCTAAACTTCTACTTAAATATATTAGAAAACACACCACCAAGATCTCAATTCTTAAGGTCTCATTCATTTCGCGGATTCGAATTTTCAATTCGAACTGAGATGTGATATTTTCTGAGAGTTTTTAACTGTAACAGAAAAAGTTAGATGTGACATTTTCTGAGAGTTTTTAAACTGTAGAAACTTAAAATTGAAAACTCGAATCGGTGACATAAACAATGCCTAGATTTATGTCAAAGAATTAACTAGTTTCTATCCTTCTACCTTATTGCTTGAATTTTTTTGTTTTTTTTGTTTTTACTTTCTTTGTTTTGCTTCGTATATCAATCATCCATTGAGGTTAGGCCCTTCTAAAATATGTTAGCAAATGGATATTGGTGATTATTGTCTCACAAAAAAAGAAGCAAATCTTGAATCTCCAATATGGCCACTGCTGAAAGAATTGAAGCTCTTTGTAACAATTATGGCGGGGATATAACAGCTAAGGTACGGCTATCTCCCTGCAAAAAAAAAAAAAAAAAAAAAAATGTCAATGGAATTATTAGAAAATAAACCAAATACCTACTTTTGAAAATTAACTGAATTATTAAATACAAAGTTAGCTGAATTAGATGAGTCTTTCCCAAGTGATGGCCTACCTGCCACCATTTATTTAAAGATTTTTAGGATGCCACAACCTGGCTGTGTAATGAAACCAGATTTGTGCTTGCACCTCTTTACTTTTCTCTTCTATTATTTTTTCAACAATCATAATGGTTAGCGAATCTCACCTCTAATTTAGGAGACGTTTGGTTCATGAATTAGAATCATGTGATTCTCATATTATCACTTCTATTATTTTTTCTCTTTCATTTTCGATTTACGTGTATTTTTTGTGAGAGAAAATACTATAAAAAATCATAAACCATGATTCAAATCATGGTTTAAATCCTCCACTTCGTCAACAATCCCCAGTTCATACACATCAAACATACAACCTTATTATTTATGAAGACTAAGTACGGACGTAGAGAATCGAATCTCTTAACAGATCTAATCCAATCTGGTCCTCTAATCTAATCTATTCCTTGTAATCTAGTCCTATAGTCTATTCTAATCTAGTCCTTGCATGATTCACTTATATGTTTCTCTATTTAAAGTGAAAAATGCTAAATTGCCGAAAGGAATTCAAAAACAAAACTATGACCATGGCAGAGTTATTTAATAATTATGAATAACATTTCATGTGTATGAGTTAATTATTGATTAAGCCACACACTTCTCAAGACAGCCTAATTCAGCAAATAATAATAATAATAATAATAATAATGATAATAAGATAAAATAAAAACAAGATAGCCTATAGTTTGATGTTTCCTTAACACCACAATGATCAACAGCTCTCATCTCACGTATCCCATATATGGTACAATGATGCTAGAAAATAATAGCAGCGTCAATAACGTTCGGTAAGAGGATTCATACCATGATTTGAATCATGATTCATAGTTTGTTACAGTGTTTTTTCTCATAAAAAAAATACACGTAAATCGAAAATAGTTCTAATATTATGATTATAATCCATGAACTATACGTAATGTCGTTTTGCCTCGTAAATGCTGATGTAAATGGACAATGACAAATTAAATGAATATATATATATATGTATGTATGTATGTATGTATATAGATATGTTGTGTGCGAAGCTCATTAGACATGTGGTAATCTACCAGCAGATATGGTGGTGGCTAACAAGTCGCAATATATGTAGTGGATTCGCCGCCCATCTGTCAATCTTATCCTTGGATGGGCCCAATCTGATGCGAATCCTACAATGCTAACCCACACATGGTCCACGATGTTGAAATCCACCACACGACATCACTTTTTAGTGACTTAAAAATTTTATTATCAGTATTCTTTTGTGTCACGTCTCCCACTTTTCAACACTATTCGTCAATTTCACAAGGAGAAAAACATGATTCTTACGTTGATTTTCTTCTGGGAAAAGGTTTTCTTCCCTTTGCCATTACCGGCCGTAAACATATATAATAAGCATGCACAGTGGCAAAAATAGTCGAGGAAAGAAAATATATTTATAATAATGTCATCTGTTTTTGACCGCCTAATTATGGAAGAATTAACCATACCATGAACTTGTATGAGATAGCACCACTAGCCAATGACGGAGTCAGTTTTTTATTTTAGTAACGACGTATATTAAATTTTTTTAATAAATTAATATGTATTTATTTTAGTGGGGTATATATTATATCAATAGAGATTTAAGTGTAAAATTTTATTTTAAATGGAAACGACTGCCCCGCTCATCATCAAGTGGCTCCGCCACTGCCACTAGCTAGGTCTCTAAAAGGACGCTAATCACCGATATTGAAGATAATTTAGCTGTTAAATTATCGTCTCCGAGTTGACACATGATTGTCATCTATTGTCAAAGTGACTTAATAAAGTTTCTAATGTTCTATGTACAATACTCAAACTTTTTAGAGCACTCTTAAACATCCCGACTTCACACCCTTAGTCGGAATAGGAGATAAGTGCGGCCCCACCCGATAGGTTCCACTATTTTGGGCATGTTTAGTTCGCTGATTTCAGTTTAAATTTAACTTTATGTGAGAATTTTTTACTGTAACAAAAAAGAGTTAGATGTGATTGTTTCTGAAAGTTTTTTACTGTAACAAAACTTGAATTGGTGAAATAAACAAGACTTTTGTTTCACATTCCAACCAATAAAGGGTTTTTCCAATTTTTGTATATTTTTCAAAGATTATGATAGAAGGGAACTATCAATTAAATAGATATTTTTTGGGAAAGGCCATGTGAAAAGGAAACTAACATGGATTGTTACCGACAAGCTGTATGAGCGGCTGATGCAATGAATTCCCATTTCGTAATGGAAAGAAAAATATTTAAAACAACAAGAGAGACATCATGAAAACGGAATTGGAATCAAAGACAAACATGATGAGATAGGCTCCTACTTTTGATGACTTGGGAGAAATTAAAACACGATTGGAAGAAAAGTGTAAAAAGGTCTCTTTTCTTTGATAGAACCCCCTCATTTGGACTTTTGTATTGTTGAAGACACAGAGAATTTTGTCAACAAGAAAGATTCACAAGCACGATATAGCAAGTGGGGGCTAAGAAAGATTGAGACCCATTACAATTTCTTCAACAAACAAATTATTAAAAAAAAAAAAAAAAAAGAAGACTCATATTTATAAAGTTGAGGATGAACCAGCTCTGACACTCATAACTATTTATTTGAATCGTTAATTCTTTTTTTTCTTTAGATACCTTAGTAAAGAAAAAAATGAAAAAAAACTAAGATATTATTTTGAATCGTTAATTCTTTTTTTCTTTAAAGATTTCATCATTTTTCATATATAGTTTTTAAAATTTTGATTGTGATTTTGAAAAGATCTAACATTTAAAAACATGCTCTCTAATAAAAAAAAAACAAAATAATAATAATAAATAAACAAAAGATTCCTTAGTTCCTTTCATGCACAACTTATTCTAAAATTGTTCTACGTCTACTTTTGAATTTCCAAGAGAATCCAAAGGAAAGTGCAATGAAAATCAAGTGGAAAAAGAAGCAGTAACTTTTAGTCCTTGTCATGGATATTTAGAAGGACCATAATTGTTAAATCTCCATCAAATAGGTGTAGGTGTGGCAAGGGCTATGGCAAGCATATTAATTAGGAATGGGAAGGAAAGAGAGAGGGCAAAAAAAAAAAAAAAAAAAAAAAAAAATTTGAAAAGGAAAAGAAAGTTTCTATTTACCTGTAAGACCACTTTCTGCATTTAAACTAGATATATGCCTTTGACTGGTCTCTTCCGTCAGCTAACAAGTGGCTTAAGCACATATTAAGTATGTGATAAGAAGGATCAAAAACTTGAAGATGGACAAAGCCTGCCAAGGATGAACAAAAATGGGCATTACATTAAATTCTCATCCAACTTGTTCAACTGAATTTCACACGGAGACATTTAGTTTATGGATTAGAATTATGATATTAGAATCATTTTTTATTTATGTGTATTTTTTATGAGAAAAAACACTGTAACGAATCATGAACTATGATTCAAATCATGGTATAAATTCCCTTACTAAACGTATGTCACATTTAATATCTGAATTTCATGAGAACTCATTGGAACAAGAGGGTTAATTTCTATTTGAAGCACCTAAAAAAAAAGTAAAAACTAAATAATGAATTTCACTTCAAAAGGTGAAGATTACAAAGTGAGAGAGTGGAAACAGCACATCATGGCATGAAATAGTAACACATCAAAAAATGTTCAATGTTGCCTTTTTTTTTTTTTTTTAACTACAATATTCTTTGCCACATTAAGAACAAAATTAAGGGGCTTCTACTGCCCAGGAATTTTCATCATATCAGAATCAAACAGTATGAAAATGTACCTTACTAAAACTTACATTCATCACAGAAGCCGAATCCGTGACCAAAGCCAGCTCCGGCAGATACCCCTGCAATCCGATATCGTAAACCGGATTCCCATCGGGATAGTACAGCCCGTAATTCCTCTCCGACGCCGGCCCCGGCTTCAAATTCTCATTAAAAAGCGCGAAAACATAAATGTCAACCGGAACCGAAGGCCTCGCCGGAGTCCCCTGCCTCTGCTCAATCCTCCTAAGCAAATTCCCATTGTAGAGCCCCGCATTCTCCGGCGTCGCCCCGGCCTCATTCGAGTCCCCCATCGACGGCCATCCCGTCTCCGATATCCTCACCTCGATGTCGTTGTGCCCCATCGCCCGAATCGCCGAGTATACGGCGTCAAGCTGAGCGTACAACATGTTGTCGTAATGCAAATTAGTATTCGGGTCGGTCATGCCCTGATTAGGCTGAAACAGGACATACTCCAATGGAACTTCATTGGGATTATCCTTGTATGCGAAATACGGATAAGCATTGATCAGAAAAGGGGACTTGATCTGAGCATGGAAGTTCAACAATGGCTGAAGATACTGGGCGAAATCTTGCCGGAAAGTGCCCGAAGAAGGCGGGTAAGAGTTTGACAAAATTGTGAGAGAATGAGCCGTTGTGACCGCTACTTGCTTGTCGAGTCCGAGGTTAACGAGAGTGCTGTGGACGGTTTGCATGGCGGGAAGGAGAAACGACATGAGTTGAGTGTCGTTGGAGCTGAAGACCTCGTTTCCGACGACTATGGAGGTGATTTTGGTCTGGGGGAGGTGTGGAGAGAGGTGTTGGGTGATCCAATTCTGAGCCTTGAGGGGGTCCCTCATGTTCTGGAGGTTCTCGTTGCCGATACTGACGATGAATGAGACGCCGGCGTTCGAAAAGGCGGTGAGGACGTTCGGGTCGGCATCATAGAGCTTGATGCGGCTGACGTTGAGGGAGCGGAGGAGGAAGGCAACGCGCGACGGCGACGGCAGGTTGTTTGCTATTTGCCCGTAGTTTATGCCGACTCCGAGGCCGACCACGCCGAGAGATGAATCTGTGATCATCAGTGACGGAGTCCGGAATTTTTTGTGAGTTAGGACTAATACTATAACAAATATTTAATGAAAAATTAATACAAAAAAATCATTGTTTTGAGAAAAAAAATAAATAAATTTTGTTGTAATTCATTAAATTGTTGGATCAGAAAACAATGAAGTATTGGTGGATGTGAAACAAATGTTGGATATGCAATTCAAAGAAAAAAGAGTTGAAAGTTGAAAGAAAATGTGAATGAAGAGTTAGTAGTAGTAATCTTGTTAAGAAAAAAGGGGATAATTATGTAAGATTTAAAACCATGAGGATTTCATTGTTGAAAGGAGAAAATGATTTGGGTAGTTTGAAGAATTTAGAATTGTATTGGACGTTTTCTAAATACTAATTAAAGAAAAATGGTGCATGAGAAAACTGAGATATCTAAATCTAAAAGACAAAAACAAAGTAAGAAGAAGAGCATGAGTCCAAAGCAGCTGAATCCCGGAAAATGAATATAAAATAAATAAACAGAGTCAAAACAGAGTAGAAGTTCATTTACTAGATCAGACTTTTAAGAATGAAACAACACAAAAGAAGTTTATGTTGCTTTGCAACCAAAAAGAGAACATAGCAAAATATACCAAAACGTAGTTTTTCTTCTGTGATCCAAAAAAGGAAAAAGAAAGAACTGTCTAAGAAAAGCTATAAAAAAAAAAGAAAGGGAAATGGGCTAATAACACCCAGATGAGAAAGAAATTCGGAAACTTTATTATAACTGAGACAAACTTTTTTCTTTTCTTTTCTTTTCGTTTCCTCTTTTTCTTGCACCAAAAGCCATTAAAGAGAAGAAACAAACCCGAGACGGTGAGAAAGAGAAGAATGATTCGGAAGATGAGAGGAGAAGAAGATGAAGAATATCTCCCCATTGCTGATCCGATCTTGGCCTTCACTTCTTCACCTTCTCAAACCCAAAAACTCTCTGTCGTCCCTCAGAAACGACGATATAATATAAATTGATTTTGATCCTCCTCTTGCCAGCTAACAACCTCGTCACAAACTCAACTCCTACATATACAAGCCACAACCGCACAAACAGTACACCACACACACAAAAGTATTCTTTTTATCTAAAAAAAAAGATTTTTTATTTTTAATTTTAAATCAAGTATGGGGCTATGTTCGAGCATTCTGGGGCTATGTGGATCTTAACGTGGGCTTACACTAAAAGTCTTGTTCATTTCACCATTCAAGTTTTCAGTTTTAGATTTCTGCAGTTAAAAATTCTAAAAAAATATCTCATCTAACTTTTTTTTTACTACAATAAAAAGTTATCACAAAATATCACATCTCAATTCGAATTTGTAAAGTGAACGAGGCATAAGTGTACTAACTCATATTATTTATATAATACACTCGTCTAATAAGACTATATTATTTAAATATTTTATTTATATTAATTTTTTTTTTTCTTAATAGGTATTTACATAATACCTATTAAGAAAGAGAAAAATAAAAATGAAAAATTAATATAGATAAAATATTTAAATAATATAATTTTATTAAATAGATATATCACATAAATAATATGATGTGATATACTTAATTTACGAAATAATTCCTCCGCACTCGGTTTATTTAATTGATATTTATTAGCCAGTAGTTTACGTACGCGTATCGAATTCTGGCAACGTGTTATGTGGATAACCGACATCGTAATTTTTGTGTCCCGAATTGCCTTTAAATCTGTGGTAGTTTACGGAAATACCCAACATCGTGAATGGTTTTTAGAAAGTCAAAAAGGATTGATAAGTGCAGTAGGATTCACTTCCCGGCCTTTTATCTTTTTGTTTATTGTATTTTGCCAGATTTAATTGGGAAAAATCCTTTTGTAGTGTGATTGGAGAACAATATTACGGCAAGTTATGAAAAAAACCCTAAGAAAATGATGTTTTGTTGAGTAGAATTGTGTGAATGTTTAATTTAATGGATTTTTGTATGGTATAACGCCGCTAGTACACACACATAATTAATATGTATTTATTACTAAAGTCTGTTTTTTTTTTTTCCTTTAATAATTTCTACCAAAGTATCTTGAACGTGTATATGATCAATTGCGCTGGTGTAGCATGGAATAATATAGACGCAAATAATAAAAATATCTTCCGGTCTCCGTTAGTTGGCCACCACATAATATTCTAATTAGTATAATAAGATTTCGTTTATTTCACCGATTTAAATTTAGAATTCGAGTTTTGCTACAGTAAAAAACTCTCAGAAATAGTCACATTTAACTTTTTTGCTACAGTAAAAAGTTCTAACATAAAATCACATCTCAACTCGAATTAAAAACTTACATCAGCAAACTAAACGAGCCTTAATATAAGGGTTTTTTTTTTTTTTTTTGCCGTTTGCCCTTGAACTTTAGTATTTTGACAATTTTCTAAACTTATAAAATTATTACAATATGTCTCATATAGTTGTGTTAAATTAGTGACGAAAGAGCACGATTGACGAAACTCTTAATCCCTTAAATCTAACAAAAAAAATAGTGAAAACTTCGTAAAAATGTGGAATTTGAATTGCAAGTTGCAATTCTTCTTAAAAAAAATTGCAAGTTGCAGGAACAAATTGTCAAAATTAAAAGTTAAGGATTAAGTTAACAAAACTCTATAAGTTTAGGGGATATATGTGCTAAATACCCTACCAATGTATGTCATGTGAAAAAATTATCTAGCTACCTAGAATGTCAAACCAAAACAACATATAATTTTTCTTGGATTAACTTCTCCACACATTCTACCATGGCCTTGTCAAGATGATTTTAATCCAATCCCCCACTTCTTCTTTAGGGCATGAATTTCTCACATTTGTTCACTTCCAAGTCCCCAAATTGCTCAAACTAAAAAGCTTCAATATATATATGCCTTCAACAATCCTTTGGTTCTCTTCCTCTAAAGAAGGGAATCCCACTAACTCTGCCAGCCTTTTCACTTGAGTTTTGGTATCCTTTTTCTAGTCTTCGTACTTGAGAAACAACACCAAATTTGCGGATTTTCCAAGCTTTGCTTTCAATAACCATGCACATGAACCGAAAAATTAATGGCCGAAAAAACTCTTCACCTTCACAATACACGTCCACAAAATACAAATTTCCACTTAGAACAATTGGGAGTTATGATCAACGTCTTGAGTTGCCAAATTCCAATGGGAAACAACGATATCAAGAGGATTCCGACAAAAGTATGCATTTTTTGCTTTGCGGATTTGAGTTTTCAATTCGTGTTGAGATGTGACATTTTCTGATAGTTATTAACTGTAGCAGAAAAAGTTAGATGTGACATTTTCTGAGAGTTTTTAACTGTATAAACCTAAAATTAAAAATTTAAATTGGTAAAATAAACGAGGCCGTATACAATCCGACATTTCAATTCCTCAATGGATTTTGGCAAGCAAGGGTAAGGAATGTAAGCGGAAAAGAGTCTTGGGGAATTGAAAATTCATCGAGGAATTGAATGGAGTCATATTACAAATATGAGCATGTTTAGTTTACTGATTTGAGTTTTTAATTCGAGTTGAGATGTAATTTTATGTGAGAGCTTTTTACTGTAGTAAAAAAGTTAGATGTGAGTGTTTTTTAGAACCTTTTACTGTAGCAAAACTTGAATTCTAAACTCGAATCGGTGAAATGAACGGGGCCATACGCACACAAAGTAAGGAAGTGTGAGGAATTTTTAGAACACTAAAAATTAAATAGAAGATTCGGATCCGACTTTAAAAAAATTGTTTAAATTAGTGCCGTAAATTTCCTTCACATTTGTGAATGTAAATCTAACGGTGTCACTTAGAAAGGAAAAAAAAAAAAAGAATTTAAGAGTAGAGTTTGAAAGCCGGTAACATGACTAAATTTTGATAGTATATGAGATATTTAAGAATAATTTAGCCATTTTAAAAAAACATTAAACCAAACAAGTTAAAAAAGAAATGTTTTTTTTTTTGCCTGGTGTGAAAAACACATGCGATACTTTTTAAATTTTAAAACTTAAGAATAAAAGTTGTTTTTAGGTAAAATTAAGAGGAAATTTTGAATTTTCTCCAATATATTATTGATAATTTAAGAACTAAAATAACAGTAAAAGACTTTAAAAAATGAGAATTATACCGATCTCGTTTACACTTTATGAACATATATATACATTATTTTTTAGAAAATAATACGAAATTTCAATGCAACTCTAGGAAAAAAGAATGTATATCGTATATTAAGGCCCCGTTTATTTTATCGAATCGAGCTTTATTACAGTAAAGTTTTAAAAAATAATCATATTTATTTTTTTTATTATAATAAAAAATTCTCACATAAAATAACATCTCAACTCAAATTAAAAACTCGAATCAACGAACTAAACAGACTCTAAATGAACGTTTAATTGATGGATTCAAAATCATAATTCAAAATTATTTTTAATTTATATATATTTTTTATAAAAAAAATATTATAATAAATTATAAATTATAATTCAAATTATAACACAAATTCACCGACTAAACACCGTAAATATTTTAGACCTTTAAAGAAAGCAATCTCGAATGCAATTTACTTATTTTGAACAAAAAACAAAAAGGAAACAATGCTGACGCGAATCTTAGCAGAGCGCACGTGTACGCCACCGCCCCTGAGGCGGATTCTTCGGTCGCATCAGAAAAGTTTGATTACACCTAAGCCCGCACGTGTCAGTTACCATCACTTTCTTTTATTTTTTGCTTATAATTTTTTATTATTATTGTTATTATATATTAAATTACGTATGAAACAAGAGAATATATAACACATAAAAAATATATATTTTAGTTCTTTCTTTGATTCAAATTATGATTTATAATTTATTATAATATTTTTTTATAAAAAATACACGTAAATTAAAAATAATTCTAATCTTATGATTCTAATCCACAAATAAAAAATGATGAAATCATAATAAAAAAGAATATATAATAAATTATTATGAAATAGAATAAAAAATACAAAGGAATTAAAAAAAAATCTCTTTATTAGTTTAGTTGTGACATCACTAAAAAAACACCTTGAAAAAAAAAACAATACAATATGAATCAAACAAGTATAGTACTCGAAAACATGAACAGATGTGAAAACTTTTCATTAATGCAATGAGCTAAGAATTACATCAAAGAATGAATATGAAATTTGAATGACGTGGACAAAAAAAGACACCAATTTTGAGTTACACTCTTATTTAATTCGCTCATTCGAGTTAAGATGTGATTTTATGTGAGAGTTTTTTACTGTAGTAAAAAAGTTAGATATAACTATTTATGAAAATTTTTTATTATTAAAAAACTCAAATTTTAAACTCAAATCGATAAAATGAACATGACCTAACAAATTAACAAATATCAAAGAGAAATAACGCAAGCAAAGAAAACCAAAAGGATTAGCAGCAACGTAAACGCAAGCAATTATTAAGAAAGCAAAAAGGAATAGCAGTAAAATAAACAACAACAACAAAAAAAAAACAAATCAGCATAAAATCACATTGATTGATAAAAAAAATCAATTAAATTTAAAAAGGGAAGTAAATAACTAAAATTTAATCAGGAAAAAACAATCTACAAATAAATAAAACTTAACTATATAAAGAATATTACTGAAAATACTAAATAAGGACAATACCATAAAAAAATATGCCTTATAAAAAAACAAATCGGCATTTTCATAAATTGTAAAATAGTCGACATTTTTAAAAATATAGATTTAAAAGTAGACATTTTATGTAATTACTTCTTAATTAAATGCTCTCGAGACAAAATTTCTAAATTCCTAAATTGTATGGTTGAAGGAAGAAGAGCAAGAGCAGACCAAATTTCTTTTTTTTTCCCATCAAAATTTTGAAGAACACCATGAGAAGAAATTTGGTCCATTCCCCTTCGACCATACAATTTGGATATTTGGGACTTTAGTGTAGAACTAGCAATTCGGGTAGCAACACGACAACATAACTTAAAAGTCGTAGGAAGTTAGCGGATTTGGATTTACTATAAATGGGTTTGTGCCATAATT